CAGAAAAGAACATAATGACCTGGTTCTGCCCATGGGAGCAGCATGGAGGAGAGGGGGAGTATTTCACAGCAGAGAAACAACAACCACAGCTGAAATGACCTTCAGCAGGAAGAAACAATGTCTAAATCTTGGTGTGTTTATTGAAAATGGTGCCTCCCTTGCTCTGGGCACACACACGGACATGTGGCTGTGCTGGAAGCCAAGCAGCTATTCCTGAGGGCAGCACTTTGAAGGGCATTCCATGATAAGGCTGCTGTGGAGTGGAGCTTTCTCTGAGCTCAGGGGTGAACCCCACCTCAGAAATTCAAGGTTTTTGTTTCAAAAAGCTCCCTTTAAATGAAGCCTTCACTGGCTCCAGGAGGCAGAAGTCAAGCCCACTCCTGCAATACTCAGACCTGTAAATTCTCATTTTAAACCATTCCCTTCCCTTTATTCAATAAAATTAGCAAAGTAATATTTAGAAAACTCATCTACAAGGATCATTGTTTGCAGCAAATTTTGAAGAGGAAAGAGAAATAAATAATCCTGATGCTTTTTGTGAACTTAATCAGCAGCAGGAGTAAGCTGGAGCTACAGGGATAACTCTGAAAAGCAAATTTCTTTGCTATGAGGAGAATCTCATGATTTGAGTGTTCAACTGCACCTAAACCTGGAGGTCTGGTTAATTTTCAAAGCAATGACATGAGTAATACTTTACATTTATGGAAAATCTTCTCCCCAGCAGCTGTAAAGCTCCTCATGAGCACTGATTAACAAATCACAACTAAATATACACCTCACACAGAACAAAGGTAACAGGCTGAGTTTATTAAAGCAGATGCTCACTGCACCCAAACTGAGATTCAAGGGCCTGATTTTTAATCAATATCCTAAAATACCACTGAACCAAGAAGCCCTGAACTGATCACTGGTTCCATTCTTTGGGCAATCTGTACCCAAAATGAGCTCTGGAGGAACAGGGACTGAATTCAGGTCTTTCAACAGCTGTGAGCACCAGCTTGTCTTTGGCAGCAAGTTCTCAAGCTGCAAATATTAACTGTGGGCTTTGCTTTCTTGCTGCAAAGGTTGGGCTCTGAACACAAAGGCTAACACTGAACAGCTTGCTTAGATTAGATTAAAAATATAAGGGAAAACAGTTCTTTACACTTAGCTCCTGCTTTACCATAAAATATAACCGGGTGGGACACACCAGGTCAAGTATTTAGATTCTGTAGTAAATCAAATCTGCCTGGAAGGGTAAAAAAACCCAATTTGTCTATATTTGACAGTTTTTGATCTGTGGTCTAACCAAAGTTTATTTGAAACTAAAATAACCTCAAAACATGCACATAAAACCTCACAACATATTCCCTGAACAGCTGCTTGCAGGGATGCTTTTAGTTTTGCCCGTTCTGAGGCTCAAAGCAGCAGCTTTGCCTGTTTCAAAGAAAGGGAGGAAAAACTGTGTAGATCCACCCCAGCTTGGGAATTCCCGTGTTTCCATCACCCTGTGCCTGCTTCCCACACCTGGGAGGCGCCCCAGGAGCTCTGCGTGTGTGTGTGTCACCCATGCACACAGAAATGCTCATGTGCGCACCCCAAACCTTGCGGGATGCGCCTCCCTGTGCGCCCTGGCACCGGCAGAGGGGTGCAGATCCCAGCTCCCATGGGGACATGGACACACCAGCCGTGACTCCCTGCGAGTGGCCGTGAACGGTGAAGGCAGGAAGATGTCGGGATGTGCAGCCAGGCAGCCCAGCCCTGGGCAAACGCAGGTTTTGGGCTGTGCGTGCTGACAGGATCCGCTGCTGGCTGTGCACCCTGTTGCTCGGAGGAGTTGGGCTGCACGCCCCGATCCCGGAGGGCCAGCGAGCATCCAGGAATGTAAACGCCAGCAATGCACGTGTGCAGGGCGCCCCGAAAGTCGCGGGGTGCCCGGTTCCGTGTGTTCCATGCGGGGGTGTCCATGCAGGGCTGAGGCGGCGGTGCAGGGAACGGCTCTCGCTGCCCCCCGAGCCCGGGCACCGGCCCGGCCATGGCCACGCTCCCACCCAGGGGCGGACTGGGAGGAGAGAAGGAAGGGGCCGGCCTTGCGGCCCGTGACCTTGAGGGACACCCCGGCGCCTCCTCGCACTCCCCGCCCCAGGCCCGGCCGCTGCCCCGCCAGCGGGGCGCCATTTCCAGCCTGGCAAGGGGACGCTCTGCGCGGCGGGGCTCCGGGTGGCTCGGGCGGCGCCGGCTCCGCGTGCGGCTCCCCCCGGGCGGCCCCGTCCCGCCCGCCTCGCCCCCCTCAGGGCTCACCTGAGGGTCAGCCCGGCGCCGGGCTGCAGGCGCGGCACGGCGGGCGCTCCCGCCAGGCTCCCCCGCAGCAGCACTCGCGCCGCCATCTTGCTCCCGCCGCCTCCCTCCTGGGCCGGGGGCTGCGGCCACGCCCCCTGGCGGGCAGCGCCGCCTGCGCATGCGCGGCCCTGGCGGCCCCGGGACCCCCTCACGGCCCCTCAGCTGAGGGGGGACTCCCAGGGCTCCGTTTGGGGAGACCAAGTCGGATTTAGGGGGACCCTGCCCCGGTTTGGGAACCGCTACTCAGATATAGCGGACCTAGCTCTAGTTTTGGGGTCCTTCAGCATAGGTTTGGGGGCACCAAGCCAGGTTTAGAGGGACCCTGCCCACCTTTGGGGACCGCTACTCAGATACAGCGGACCTAGCTCTAGTCTTGGGGTCCTAAGTCGGGTTTAGGGGGACCCTGCCCAGCTTTGGGGACTGCTACTCAGATATAGGGAACCCAGATCTAGTTTTGGGGTCCCCCAGCATCGGTTTGGGGGCACCAAGTCGGGTTTAGGGGAACCCTGCCCAGATATAGGGGACCCAGCTCCGTTTTGGGGTTCTAAGTCGGGTTTACGAACACCTTGTCAGACACAGAGGAACCCCAGTCCCAGTATGGGAAGACTCTGTCAGATTTATCCTGGTTTGGGGGGACCCCACCCACAGTTTTGGAGGATCCCCAGCCTGGTTTAGGGCTACCCAAGCCCCGGTTTTGAGAGAGACTCCAGCCCCAGTTTGGGGGGACCCTGGTCCCAGTTTGGGGCCCCCAGTCAGATTTAAGGGGATCACAACCCCAATTTTGGGAATCCCAGCCCTGGTTTTAGGGGACACAGCTGGATTTAGGGACCCCCAGCCCCGGTTTGTTGCTCTCCTGGTACATTTTTCACTCGCTGGCAGCTGAAGGGTTTTCCTCACGCTGCTCCTCTGTACTCAGAGAAATTTTGGCTGAGGAGGAGGTGTGTGCTGGCACCAAATCCTTAAATCACTTCAAACTGAGGATAAAGTGATAATTAGGGTAATAATTAAAGGGCAGTTCTAAAAGCAACAAGCCAATAAACACAGAAAGCAGTCAGTGACTAATCTTTATCATTCCACGTAACACCTATAATGATTCTATCTTGGCCCTATAAACTTTCCCTTCCCATTTTATGATTTTTCTATCAGCACTCGCAGACTAATCCAGAAGATAACACATATGATGTGCTTTAACATCACAAAAGTACAATCTTTGTACTTTAAAACAATTTAACCTACAATTGCCATCACTCTATTAAATAACACAGTCTGATATGTAATTTGGTTTTAGTCACATTTTGATCTGACAGTGTGGCAAGTTCTTGAGCAATCCTCCCAGAGCCTACACTGGAAAAATTATAACCTTCTGTGATGAATCAATCTTATAGGAAAAAAAAAATGGCATTTTCACAGCTACTCAAGGGGAATTACAAGAAAAGAAAATATCAATTCTCCTAATTAGATGTAGATGCAACCTATTAAGCAAACAGGAAACCTTATCTATTTTTTGTAATTATGTAGTTATTACAACGCTTATTTCTCATGTATTGAGGGTCAAGTTCTGCTTGGATACAACTTCAGTGCATTTCCTACAGCCCAGGACCAAACTCTGCTCTGTATCCAAGTTCTCCCAATCTCTGCTTGGATGAAGTTTCTCATTTTGCATTCACCTGGGCAGAAATCAGAGCTCAGGTTTTTTCTTTCCTTTGATCAGCCAGCTCCAGTTCCTCGGGAATTTACATAAACCTAAACCTCTGCCACAAACAACAAGAAAAACCCTACAGCCACATGTTTAAGGCACTCCCTCAACCTCAGAGCCTGTGCCCACAGAGTTTTACACAGAGACATTTCAGTAAAGTTTCTTGACATCCCACATGAACACAGGCATGCAAAGAGTAGCATTTTTTACTTTGAAGCACCAAAAGAACTTTAAGTTTCTCATTCCTCTGTCCCAAATAATTTGCTGAGTTCAGTCAGGCTTTTTAGGCAGCCAGAACTGATTTTGTGCAGGAAGTTCAAGGGCAAATGATCTTTAATAATGTGACAACAGCAGAAAACACAACTGAAGCTACTCAGTTGCTTAAAATAAGATATTTTGGGTCAGAGGAGAAGATTTTAGGTCTGATACACCTTGTTTTGCTTCCTAAAGACCAACAAACACTTTGGAAAGGATTTCTCACAGCTCTCATATGCCACTATCCCCTCCCACACCTACAAATTTTAAGGCAGGTGCCCTTTTAGATCCAAAGTCAGAACTTGAGGCTGCTGCAACAGCTGCAGGCTCTCAGCTTGCTGCATGCCCTGGAGGAGAGGACATGAGATCCCCTGAGCTGTACCAGGATAAAGTCATCTTTCATCACCAACTGCTCTGGCCTTTAGCTCCACACTAAAGCAAGCAGCAAAGCAGCCCCTCTAGCTCCCCAAAATGTGTTATTTTAATTAGCTGTTCTGATGAGAATTAAATCTAATCACTTTTAGGCTTTGTATTCTCATCAGCTCAAAGAGATCCAGCTCTCCCAGCATGAAATTCTGCCTTTGGACAGGGACAGAGCCACCCACACTCAGCTGCCCAAAGCTTTGATTCTCACCTCTCTGCCACTATAAAGGCAAAGGGGCTGTGTTTTTGTTAAGAGTCTGGAAGTCAGAAGGCACTGTAAGAGGAAATAAGGACACAAGCATGCAGCTGGTTTTAAAATTCTACACTTCCTTTCAAAAGCTTTAATAGCATCATCTCCAGTAACCCTACAAACCACAAAAGACTGCCTGAAATACAGAACAATCAAAGAATATAATGACCCTCCCACCATAATGAAGCATCACACAGCTGAAGTCTTGTCTTAACACAGAGAAGTCATTCCAGGAGGGCAGCTGCCTTTGGGAACTGTCACTGGGGCAGAACTACAGGCAACAAAACAGAGTGTGAACACTAAACTTGCATTTTTCTCTGGATTTCCATTCAAAGCTCCAGGTGCCCATCAATCTGCAGCATCTCTTTGCATAAGCAACTACATTTACTATTTATTTTGACTACAAATTTCACTGAAACATTTAACACATCACAGCAGGGCCTCAGACATCCCTGACAGAGAGACACAAAAGCTGGAAGGCCTCTGCTTAAAAGATTTCCCCCCACTATTTGTCTGTTGAACAAACTTTAAGTTCCTGAAGTTTCTCACTTAGATAGGTGGTGTCTGCCTCGGTGAGATTTTCTGAATCTGACAGGTTTTCCAGGAATCTGGTTCCTGCACAGGGCTTTCCTGTGATGGGATCTATGACATTGCCAACCTTGAACACAATTTCAGCCAGTTCGTGTTTCACGTGTTTGCTCCTTCTCTCAGGCAGAGCTTTCAGAAGAACAATGTCTCCAACAACACACTGCTGCAGTGGGTCATGGGCAAAATAGGTTTTTCTTTTGTTAAAGAACTGTAAAAGGAACAAAAATAAAAAAAATTAAAAAAAAGAAAACCTCGGTATTATATTTCAAAATTATGTGATGGGTAAATATGTAACTAATATCAAATAAATAAATTTCACTAAAGTCTTATGTATGTTTTCAAGTGAGATTCAGTTTGGATCATGAGGAGAAATGCAACTGTGCACTCTACAGGTTCTCCACAGACAGCACAGCACTGCCTTTCCCAATCTCTTGCCAGGATAGTGTTGCCAACTGAGCCTGGAGGAAAGGAGATGGGGAAGAAAAGGCTCTGAAATCTGTATTTTGATGGTTTTTATGTGAGAGTTTTCTTGCTGAAATAAATTTTTTAACATAAAGACTTTTTTTTTCTTATTAGAACAGCAGAATTTAGAATCCTTTAAGAAATAAATTAGGTTAAGAAATAAATAAAGGTTCTTTGACTGAATAGAATATTGAAATGGGTTCCACAAGACCCATTTTCCAATCCTGACTCTATCCTTAACCTTTTGGTGACCTCCATGTACCACTGTTTTCCTATTTAAAATGGAGAAAGTACAATTTTTAACCTTCTTGTTTGAAGAGCATCCATAAGGGCTATATCCAAGATCACAGTAATGTTACAATTACACATACAGAAAAAACCAGCTATAAAATTTATCCTACAAGTGACTAAAAAACTGTCAAGTCTCCAAAGCATGCTCCACATCGACATGAAAAATTAAATCTAAGTGTGAAACAACAAAAGCTTACCTTCCCAAAAAGATCAAATGAAGTGCATTAACAAGGCACTTCAAAGAAATACATTTAGCAGGTAATTTGTAAGTCCTCACCACTCAGTGCTTCTCATCCTCTGCAGTCATCCCCACAGCCAGATTAAAGGGTTTGATTAGTAAAGAGTCATCAAAACTTTTAAAGAATTGAATCAGCAGAACATTTCTGCAGAAAACACAAAACCCACCAGGCAGGAGAGGTTGTTCACTGGTGTTACCTTTAGCAAGTAGGGATCCAGCACAAGCCTTGTCACTCTCACTTTGGCAGTTTTCTGCATTTTGGTCCCAATTACTTTCCCCACTATCCATTTTGCATGGACAGCTCCACGTGGGACAGACATTGTTCAGTTATGGTCATGCAGTGCCTGGCAGCAAGAAAAGCAGATGTGTTATTGTGACAAAGTAAGAAACATAAATGTTTTTCTGATGAATACCAAAAATTCCCTTATTTTAGACTAACAGCTTCATTAGGTCATTTTGTTGGAAGAACAGTTAAAGTCTCCATTCATTGCACTAGCTCAGCCTTTTTGACAATACAGAAGGGATGTCACTGTGTCCTTTTTATCAGTAAAACTTCCTTCAGGACAGCAGCAAAACTGGACAGAACAGCATGAGGAGGAGACCTTACCCCACAAAAATGAATCATTCCAATTGCCACAAACACAACAGAGAAAAGTGTAGCTGTGGAAATTATTCATTTAATAATGAATGACACACGCTCCAGCAGCTGTTTTGGCTGGAAACCTGTTCATCAGAACGGAGTGCACCCAAACAAGGGAGCAGCCTACAGCTTTTATTCAAAGTCATTTGCTTCTGTGCCTCTCATTATCAGCACAGCTGATGGAACCTAAGGAAGGTAATGAGCTTCCCAAGCAATAAATGACACATCAAAGAGCTGTCTGATCCATACTACACGTGTTTGCTTTTTAGTTCTTTCCTGCAAGTAAATTCGATTCCATTCCCTTATTTGGTATAATTAGGGAGAGCTTTCTGTACCACTCTCGCAAGAATCAGGGGAAAAGCCAACAGAAGCCTTAAATCAATACTAAAACTAATGGAGATTAATGGCCATTTTTTCTCCCACTCAGACTGGCTCAGCACAACCAACACCTGTGAACTCTCCATTCTCCCCAATTTGTAAGACACTCGCTTTGATGTCCCAACACATCAAAAGCAGAGTTTAGGGACACAGGGACACAGCCAGAGGATGAAACACTTCAGCAAACACTCGGGGGCTGCAAGGAATCAGCGTGGGGAGCCCTCCTGCACCCCACGGCTAAACACCCCGGGCAGCCAGGCGTGCGCAGCGCGGGCAACACCCACGGAGCACCGGCAGGCAGGAGAAAAGAAGAATTTAAGAGACAGAGCCCTGAGCACCCCCCCAGCGCTCCGCACCAGGCCCTGCCCCGGCGCCTCCGTGCCAGCAGGGCCGCGCAGGCAGCGGGGCTCAGCCGGGCGGGTCATGCAGCACCCAGAGCGCAGCCACGGCATGGGGGAAGAACCCGCACAAGCGAGCCCGAGCCCCGGGCAGCCCCGTCCCCTCTCACCGCCGCTACCACCGCCGCGCCTCGGGGGCCTTAAAGAGACGGGCCCGGAACGGGCGGCGCCGAGCACGGAAGCGCCGCGCGGCGGGAAGGGGCGGGGCCTGGGCGGGGCCAGGGGCGGGGCTAACCAGGGGTATTTAAAGGCGCAGGCGGCGGCCGCCCCCTCAGAGGCGGTGAGGGGGGATGCGGGTGTGTGTTGTGTGTGTAGAGATTGATTAAAGTTGGAAAAGATCTCTAAGAGCTCTTTAAAGATCCTTTAATGGTGGTAGAGGGGAAGCCTTAAGGGGAGTGGCCTAGGTCGCTTCATTTGTTCATCTTTGAGAAGATGAAACTGAGGTCGCACCTCATTGTGGTCCTCAATATTCTCATGAGGGGAAGAGGTGGGACAGGTTCTGATCCCTTCTGTCTCATATGTGACAGGATTTGATGAAATGGCTGGAGCTGAGTTAGCAGAGGTTTGTGTTGGATATCAGGGAAAGTTTTTTTTTTAATTTTTTTCACCCAGAGCATGGTGAATTTATTTTTTCACCCAGGAGCATTGGAATAGGCTCCCTGGTGCAGTGGTGATAACACCAAACCTGACAGAGCTCAGGAACTCTGATAGGTGCTGGGATTCCTGGAACATTCTGTGCACTGTCAGGAGTCGGACTTGATGTTCCTGATGGGTCTCTTCTAACTCAGGATATTCCGATTCTTTGATTGTTGAGTCCAGCTGTGTCTCCATCACTGCCACCATAACCCCAGCACTCAATCCAGACATTTCCAGGGATGGTAACCCCACCATGGCAACCTATTCCCATGCCTGACCACCCAAACAGTGAAAACCCTTTTTCCTAATATCTAATCTGAATCTTCCATCTCAGTTTAAAGCTGTTTTTTTTTGTCTTCTCACTGCAGTAGAAAAAAAATGACCCTACCTCACCACAACCTCCCATCAGGTAATTTTGGGGAGGGATAAGGTTCTTCCCTGATCCTCCTCTTCCAAACAAATGCAGGCTGTGGGTGCTGAGGGATCCTTCACATTTTGGGGATGGAGCTGACTCTCAGTGCAGCCTCTTTGAGGTTTCTGCACATCAGCAAGTGCTGTGCTCTTCCCCCTGCTGATAAGCGATGGACGTGAGACAAATCTTGAAGGTTTTCCATATAAATCCAGAATAATTATAGTAGATATGGCGTAAGAGCTGGCCTGTCCTTGCTATCCATAACCTGGATATATATCCATAACCTGGAGGATACTTCAGTTTCTGTTAGCAAAAAAAACCCCAAACCACTTAGAAACTGAATAATGGCAAAATTATTGGACTTTGAGGTAACATGCTCCTGTTTTTTCCCTGTGACTTCAGGCTGAGACCATCCCTTTTTTTTATTTAAATGTGCTGACTTACCCCTTTCTGCTGATATTTTGGCTGCTGCACAGTTTAGAGCCTTGTTCTCTTTTTGCTGTGGGTGTCCCATCATCTCTCACGGCAGGAAGAGGACAGGTAGGGAATTATATTTAATTAACAGCACAACTCCAGGCAGTCTCCCTTGTTAAGGTGGCTGATACGGGCAGAACAGGAGATGCTGTTGAAATAATTTGATCAGATACCATCCAAGGAATTATTCACGAGTTCATTATCAATTTTTACAGCTATCCAAGCGAAAGCTCGTGGCTTTCTCTTATTTTAGTGCCTGGTTATTTAAAATACAGAGCAGGGAGTGGGGAGGAGCCGTGGTGCAGGCAGGAAATGGTTAAAGAGTTCCTATCACCTGGGAAAGCAATCCTTTGATTTTTCAGAGGGCGCTAACATGCTGCAGCTCATGGAAACAAAGGGAAGGAGATCAAGTAGAAAAGTTGTTCTTGGATTTTATTCTCAGTGGCAAAACTTGTGAGGGATGCATATTGATGTCTGCGGGGAAAATACGGAGTTTTTGGATTAAAAGGGATTTTTTTCCCCCCTTTCTTATCATCATTCAAAAAAGGATCCGTGAGGTAAGTCTTGATCCAACTGGTGACTTTAGAGAACTTCTTTTAAGAGTGAGGGGTAAAAAAAAAACAATCCAAAATCCTTTATCTTGCTGACCCATTTTTTAAAACAATGAATTCTTTGCTGAAATCGTTCCTCGGGCAGGGAGCAGAGGCAGGAGCGTGAGTCAACAACTGCACGGAGCCCACGACGCTCTCTCGCCTGTGTTGTCTGCATTCACATCGTTTGCATTCATTCCCGAGCTGGAGTATGGAAATTCAGGAACCGGGAGGAACATAATGAGTCAGGGGAATTCGCCACTCGGAGTTGCAGTAAATATTTCAGCGCTGACACTCTTTCAAGCTGCAGTGCTGGCTGTGCTAAGGTGATTTTGCAGTGGGGTGCTTCAAGCATCTCCTGGTGGTGGCTCTTAAGTCATTCCCCAGCCTTGTCTCTTGAATCCTCGCTGCTGTCCCAAAGGTTTTGTGTTTCCAGCTCCTGTAAGAACCCTGCTGATCCTTTCAGGGCTGATTCATTATGAAGGTGTAAGAGGGGTCTCGATTGCCATTAATTCTTTGCCTGTCTGCACCGGAGTTCTCACCTTAAAAAGTGCTGCTGGGTTTTGTGTGTGTGTGTGTGTGTGGAAACAGATGATTTTTCACCCCAGTGTGGCTGCCCCGAGGGTGATGGATGGTCATGACTGTCACCGAGAGCCGGTGCCACCTGAAGGGAAGTTTTTACACCCCGTGGAGAACCCTACCAACCCCATCCATTCACCTTGAGCATAAATTCCTCCCAAAATTCACTGAGCGTAAATTGCACCCTCACTCTTGCGCAGCTATTTGCCTCCAAGGTGCTGAGTTCTGGTGCATTTCTGGAGCTCGGTGAGTGCGTGTGGCGCTGCCGGTTTCACTTTTCCCTCCCTGGCTGCCCTGGGTGCCGTGCGCTCTGTGGGTGCCTCCCCGCGTGGATCAAAGCTTCAGGGCTGTGCTGGGACACAGCAGCACCACTGGGACACAGCCACCTGGCCAGTTCTTCCTGCTCTTCCCCACGCTTTGCTCCTGCTTTCTCATTCTCCAGGAGGGAGAACACTCAAACCCAGAGCTGCTGGATGCCCCTCCTTTCATCTTGGGCACCAACAGAGTCTTGGGTTTGTTGTTTTTTTGTTCCTCGCGTTTTATTCCCCATCTCTGCCTTGCTGTTCCCCTCACCACACCAAGCTTTTATCACTCATCTCCCCGTGCTTGTTCCCAGCTCCTGAACTGCCTGTTCCCAGGTTCTGGCTGGGCAGGAGTCTTTCATCACCCTGCCCTGTTTTGCATTCATGCTCTGATCCATCACGTTTTGCTCCTTCTGGATTCCCCGTGGCGCCTGCAGGAATAAATCACTGGAGCTGGGTGTCAGGAGCCTGGGAGCACTTGATTCCCTGCTGTTACAAGGAATTGCTTTTACATTTACACAAAAAATTGTAAATCCTTGTCTTTTTTTTCTTTTTTTTTAATCGTGTCTTTTTTCAGCAAGATTTCTCTTATTTTGAAAAAGTTCTTTTTCTAAAATCTTGTCTGCTAAGTGCTCTTGCTTCTGTTGTCAGGATCTGACATTCATTTCAGCTATTCAGTGTGAAAACCCTTTCCAATTTCTTTACCAGTGCTATTGATTAAAATGCAGTTTACTTTTCTGGGGAAAATTTGATATTCAAAAATGTCTTTTTGCTGTGAGTCAGAATGTACTTTTCCATGGAATAAAAATTCTGGAAAGAACAAAAAAAATGCTATTGGAAATGTTGAACAAATTATATTGTCGTTTCAACCTGGTTATATAAGAAAAAAAGAAATAACTTCAAAGTCCAAATGAAAAGCTCTGGTATTTTTCTCATATTTTGAGAAAATGAGTACATTTTTCTCCAGCTGTTCAATTTTATCTGTTCAGAATTTTCCATATGAAACTCTGAGAATGTTCTGTACTGGCCTTAACTCCAAGTTCCTGTTTAACCCAGCTGGCTGTTTCAGGTTACATATTAAAAATGAATTATGAAGCTTTTTTCTCCTTAGTTTTCAACCATTGATGTTTCTTCTAGAAACTAATAAAACTATTTCCATTTTTGTGTATAAGTCCGTAGTTCTCCGGCTATAAATGCTGTATGGTACAATAATTTACAGTTTTGAAGAAAAACTGATGGAAAAGATCTTTGGACTGCAACAGGTTAAAATTTAATTTTGCAGATTAAAGATCAGAAGATGTCTCTGGTAATTTACTGCTGGTTTGGATGCCCTCACATGATGCTCTCCCTGTCAACATTGCTGTGGTCACTTTGGGGATTTTCAATATTTTTCCTTAATTGAAAACTCTTTGCTGTGCTAAGTAGAGAAGACCTGAGCTCTGCTCAGCTGAGCTGCCTAAATTATAGAGGAAAGTCTGTGGCAAGATCTGGTTTTCACTCTAAAATAGAATCCCTGAGGGGAGAGGTGCCCTGGGGGTGGTGGGATTTGGGCTCTAGGTGTGCTGCTCTTAATTTCACTGATTTTAGGTGGTGTGGCCACTGCCAGGGGGGACCAGCTTTGTGGGTGTCCTTTGAGGGTTTAGGTGCCTCCAGTCTCCAGGAAAATGCTGTCACATTGTTTTGGGGGCAAGTTCAGAAAGAGAAATGCTTCTCCATCACCATAATATCCTTGAATCCTCCTCAGTCTGTTGTCGGGTCTGGCTGTCTGTCTGTCTGTCTCTGCCCCGACACGGGCAGGGCGGTTCTTGGGTGGCACGCGATGCAAAGGACGAGTTTGGACTCTTCAGCTTTTCGATCTTCAGGTTGTTTATTATTTCTTATCTACAAAATTTTTCTGTCTGCCCAACAGAGGTCTGACCTGCAAGCAGTCACAGGCACTCTCTGACCACCCACGGGGTGGTCATGTCTTTTTATACTAAAATCTACGTACACTATATTTACTTTTATTTCTCAATGCTTTTCACTCATGTTAGCAAGTGCACCTTCACCATAAACCAATCCCCAAGTGCCAACATCACCACAGGAGATGGAGGACAAGAAGAAGAAAGAAGAAGGACGGGACACGCTTTGATCTCTCTATCTTGTCTCTATAACTCCCTTGTACCAAAAACTTTAAAGTTTGTATCTCACTTTCTAAATGTGTCCCTTTTACACCTTGTACTCTAAAGTGATTCTCTTGTCTTCAGACTCTTGTTACTTTTGTGGATGGATCAAAATCAAGCCACCAAACACTCTTGGCAACATTCTAGGATTTTCGAGACTTCCAAGGGTACTCCTGGCATCTCTGGACATTGGGAACGATGTGCTGAGATCCCACAGTCTGTGACTTCATTAATGCCATTATTCCTTGTCCTGAAGAGCAGCCCATTACCACGTCTCACCACTCATCCTTTCTCTGTTCCAACCTGTGCTTTCATCTCCCCACAGATGATTTTCTAGCCCTTGGACCTCTCCTTTGGACTCCAGTTGTCTTCCCAGCTCCAGAAGTGGTGACCCAAACCCGAACAAGCCTTCAGCAGAAGCTCCACCAGGAGGGAGAGGACTCCCCAAATCCCCAGTGGTGTCAGAAGATGAATTTCCTCCTGAGCTCCCCACTCTGAGTTGTCTCCCTCCCTTGTTCTCAGCTCTGCCTCTGCTATCCCTATGATTTGGTAACTATTTTATCTATTCCCTGCCTCTGCTTCCCTATAATCTCTAAAGAAAAACTTCCATATCTGTTTCACCTCAAAAAAAAAAACCACTTCCTTATCTATTTCACCTCCTATTTAACCCCTCAAAATTCGTGGGAGGGTGGCACAAACAAAGTAAGTGGAAAAATCAATACATTTGCAAGCCAATTTAGAGCTCAGCAGAAAAAAAAAAAAAAAAAAGAGCAAAATATTTTATGAAATCCTGGAAGGTGCAGGCAAATGGAAATTTTCAGTTTCAACTAGAGCTTTATTTTGGAATTCCTCAAGGGGAGGTTGGAATTCTGCCACACTGTAATAGTTTTGTATTGCAGGAAACCAGGAATGCCTCAGTCTCTTGCCCTGTGCAGTTCACAGATTCTCACTACATTATACAAGTTTGACCTGTTAATTTTATAAAGTAAAAAGAAGCAAAAACCTTTACAGGCTGATTTCCTGTGCTCAGAAAGAAATGCCTGAGAACTGCCTGGAGCAGATTCACACCATCATTTAACTCCAGCTTTCAATATTTGGTTTCCACAAGACTCTTGTGCCTGTGGAAGCAGCATCTCCTCAATTTTTTGGGTGTCATGGAGGTGATTACGTTTAGAATAGAAGATTTCTGATGGAATTTTCTGTCAGTTTCTGCAAAATTAAATTAATTTCACGAGAACATCACTGGGAAAATTCTTGTTCTAAAAACCTTTTATTATTGTGAGTGAGTAGCACACGGGAATGTGGTAAATTCAGCTGAATTTCATTGCATAAATTCTTGGCATTTGTATAATTTCAGGGAGTTAAAACCTCATGTTATAAAGAAATCCAATAGTTTAGTTGCTGAAGGAGCCATAACTGATGGGAAAGGATTGTGCTGGATTTGATAGAATAAAGTTTAGCTGCATTTTCTGGTGTTCTACTCAGTGGAGATGCTGCAGAGAAAGAGAATTTTATTTATGGTAGCCAAAATCTGAGAAAAGACAGCAATAACATTTTTCTGAGCAACTTCCTTTAAAGGAGCAAACTAATTTAAAAGGTTTTTCTTTCAACATCCTTGTTAGCCACAAAAAATGCATCTCTAACGGTGAATTTATTCTGCATGTTTGGACTCATCCTAGTTTGGAATCTAACCAAGAAAATGCTGCTGAATTTCCATCCTTCAATGTTGAATTTCAGGTGTGGCTGCCCTCATCAGCTGAAAAATATGTCCATCAGAGGCCTGAAGAAGAAACAACCAAAGACTTTTAAAGTCAGAATTATAACAGTGGATGCTGAGATGGAGTTCAGCTGTGAGGTGAGAGGGGCAGCAAATGCTGGGGAGTGCCCTTTGTGTTAGCAAGAAATTGGAAAAAATTCAGATTATCAGCTCGTGGATGGTCTTAAAACGGATGTGTTATTTTTATAAATGATGAATTATTTACTCTCAGGTGTGTTCTCTTAACTCTGTTTAGAATTTAAAGCTGTTTGCATGAAATCCATTTGACTGACACAGCTGAATTAATACTAAACCTGCTTTCTTCATTCCAATTGTTTGCAAGGGTTCCTACTTCTCCATTAAATTAATTTTTGTTTTTTGGAACTGACACAGCTCTTTAAGACACTTCCAGCTTGGTCAGAGCTGGTGCTAAGATGTTGATAAAATAATTTATAAACTGGTTCTTTTGTTGAGCTGGGACATTCTCTTCCAATTTTCCATTTATAAACTCCAGTTCTTTACCTGCAGTGGGTGTTTGGATCTCTGGGCAGAAGAGAAAAAAGGATTGATGAAAAAGCTGGCAGTTCTATTAATTATGGCTGATAAATTAATTAGGGAAATCATGGCTGGGGAAAAAGAAATGATCAATTGCTAAATAAATTTGGCTTCACTATTGAAGGGACAGAGCTGTCCCTGATTAATTAATTCCTAATCCAGCAAAAGCAAAACAAGGCACACAGGTGTTTTGGGGAGTTAGAAAATTCAGTTCCAGTGGGACTGGCAGTTTTAGTGAGACCTGACTGCTCTGTGAGCCATTTCATGTAATTTATTAGGTCCTTCAGAAACAGCATAGATTAATCTTGCATGACTTACTGCTCTGCAGTACTTGCAGGCAGAATTGTGAAAATAAGGGATTTGGAAAGTCTGATTTAGAGATCAGAGTCCTTGTTAACAAATAGTGTGTTCCTTCCTTTGCTACCTCTCCTTTCTCCCCAGACACTGCTCTGTTGCTGGGATAATTTCCAGCTTTCCACTCAAATACTGCCTAAAAGTTCTAAAAGTTCCCCCCCTTATTTTTTTTTTTTTTTTTTTTTTTTTTTTTGCCATTCAGTTTTTAGTTTTAGCAATGAGCTCAAATCATCTTTCTGAACTGTGGTGGAACAGATGAGCAGCCTCTTTGGTGAAGGGAACAAGGCATCAGACTTGTGTGAATTTGGGACCTTGAATCAAAGTTTGCTCTCTGTGGCTGCTAAATTGAAATGAAAATATTGAAGAAGACTCATTTAAATCAGAGCAGGATAAAGGCTTGGCCTGGTGCCACTCAAATACCTCAGGGGTGTGAAAGGTGGATCTGTTCTCATTGTTCAGCATTCCTACCCCATGTCCTGATTTGATTTCCCCTGGCTTTCTCTCAGTCTCTCCAATTTGTATAAACCATTGAGTGAAAATTCTGGACAAATTATTAATAAAGCCTTGCCACATCCCAGGGAATCAATAATACAATCCTCATTCCCTCCAGTGCTGGGTGGTGAAATGACTCCAGCTGCTCTCTGGATGTGTCTGGAGAGGGAGAGGAGGTGGAACACAGCAGCAAGAATATTTCATTAAAAACCTAAAGATGAAATAAGATTTCATAGGAGAAAGGGCTCAAATGGAGCAAGTTCATTTAGGATACACGTGTTTTTTTCTTGATTTTTCTCTCCCTCAGATGAAGTGGAAGGGGAAGGATTTGTTTGACCTGGTGTGCCGAGCCCTTGGTTTAAGGGAGACCTGGTTCTTTGGCTTGCAGTACACAATTAAAGGAATGTGCACCTGGTTAAAGATGGACAAAAAGGTACAGGAGACAAAATGGGTGGCAATGAATTATTTACTTCTATCAATATTGACTTTCTGGAGCGGGAGAGCTAAAGGGATGTGTTCCATGACAACTGAGAATTTGACATGGTGGCTTTTTTAAAGGTGAAAATGGGATTATTTGCTCTGATTGCTTCTATCCCATTTGACCTGCAGCATCCCACACTAATCACCACTGATTGCTGGTAGATTAAAGCTCAGAATTCCCCTTCCCTCTCAAATATGGGGAGGCTTTAAGTGGATTATTGGCTACTTTCTGATTTTCCTTGGGAATATTATCTTGAGACACTCATGTATCCTTTTTGCTGCTGATTTGATTTGATTTTATCTGTCAACAGGTTTTAGATCAAGAAATCCCTAAAGAAGATCCCATTAGCTTTCATTTTTTGGCTAAATTCTACCCAGAGAAGGTAGAAGAGGAACTCTTACAGGAAATTACCCAGCATTTATTCTTCCTTCAGGTCAGGAAAAGTTTTGAACCATGAATTCCTTCTGTATTTCCCCCAGTCCTTTTGCATTGTCTTTGATCTTGTTGGCAGCTCAGGATGATTTTGCTTGCTTCAGCTGTATCAAGAACTTTGTAGGCATTATTTTTATGAAATACAAACATTTCTCCTGCCTGCTGTGGGTTTGTGTCCAGGTAAGCTGAATGCTTCATCTTCTGCACGTTTTTGTGACAACACTCAGCAGTTTGGGGGATAATTCCAAATCTGGATATTCCAGGCTTGTTTTGCTCCTTAATATGTGTTAAAAAAAATTAAAATTCCATGCAAAGCTGGAACTGCTGGAAGAACTGTGAGGCTTTTAGAGAAATTTTGTGCTGGAGAGCAAAACCTCCAGAAAACAAGGACTCCTTAAAACTTCATTTTGGATTGTAGGGATAAAAGATCATGGAATTTGATAGGCATTCTGAAATCCAGGTTTGTTCCCATGGCAAGGTTTGAGAGGAGCAGAGCAGCAAACACCATTGGAGCTCCATCAAAAAGCAGATGAAGGAGCAAATTCTTGGAGCTTTATGAAAAATAAAGATGGATCAAGCAGGAAAAGCTGAGTTTGGGATGGTCACTTCCCATGTCTGGGACATCCAGCCTCTCTCCTGAGTTGCTCTGGAGTCCCTCTGGGAGTTTCAGCCCCTGGAATGTTGCTTTATTCCAGCAGGATGAGTCTGTGCAGGTAACTGGGATAAATTCAGTCTGCAGCTGGAAATAAACCCAGTAAATTCCCTTGTTCCTTGAGGAGGATGTGCTAATGAAATACTGGGGAAATGCTGCAGCTCTGAGGGTTCACAAACCCACCAGAACCTCATCCAGAACCTTCAACCACTTGGCAATTTATTTCTTCAGCTAATTTTGGAAAGGAATGAGGACAGCAGAACTCTTTTAATCCTGATTTTTTCCACTTTTTTTTTCTTTCTTTTCTGCTTGAACCTGCCTTAACTAGCAGATATGCAATTAGCAAATTCTTCTCATTCCAAAGTAGGAAAACAAGGCTGAAACAAATTGGAACTTGCAAAGTTTCCTGACTGTAAGAACTTCAGCTCACACCTGGATGCTAATAGGAAAAACATGTTCAGACATCTGGATGCCTGAAGATTTCAGCTCTCCTGACTCTTCAGACCTTTGCAAATTAATGTGGCAGAAATGCCTGAATAAATGTCAATGACTAAAGCTAAATATTGTCTGCTTAAAGATGAGGTAATTTATTGCTTCTTCATGAAGTTCAGCAAAAAGTCCTTGTAAAAACTGATCAGAAACAAACAAAACAAAGCAGACACTTATGGGGGATTTATCCACATTGCTCTAAATTCTGGAGCATGATTTGCACTCTGGAGAATGAAAGCTGGAGCTTTCCAAATTGGAAGAAAAATCTTTTCATTCTTTCCATTTTAACAGCTTAGAAAGAATGTTCCCTGCACTGTAACTCAGCTTCATAGATTGTGCTCACCAGGGACTAAACTTAAAAGCAAAAACTTTCTTGGTGGCTCATTTCAGTTCCCAGCACCTCCAGAGGTGTGTTTGTGAACACAACTTGTGCTAGCTCAAGTCATTTTTCTATTTGGAAACGTTTAAGACTGTGAGCTATGCAAAATTTTGTTGCCTTGTGCTTGTTCCTAAGCTGAATACACCTGAGAGGAGGATTTGGGAAGATTAATTTCCCCTTCCCTCTTTGGGTTTTCAAACAGAAATTGCACAACTGATTTAAAATCAAACACCATCTTACAAACTATAACACCTCTGCTCTTGGTAGCACCACAGGTTATTAAAATGAAAAGAATGTTGAAAGACTCTTTAGCATTGTCTGATTGTGCTTAGACCATTGGAAATGAATAAATGAAGTGCTTTATTATTCAGCTTCTCTTTTGAGAATCTCCTTTATTCTCTCATTCTGGAAAGCTGCAGAACATTTATTATGGTTTTTATATGGCAGCTGCACAGCCCTGGGTCTGCTCTGCTTGGACCTGACCTCCAGAGCTCCCTCCCAGCCTAAAATCTGATGGCTGATGTGATGCAAAGCTGACTTTTCCAAAGGCAGGAGAAAGAAAAAAGAAGGATTGTTAAAAGAAATGAAGCGCAGACAATAAAATTGATGTTTTATAGGATTTTCTTTTCTAGGACTCCTTATGGAAGTGTGTGGAGAGAGCTGACTGGCATTTTTGGTCTCATTAAATGCATTGCTAACTAAAGGCTTCCTGTGTTCCTGAATGCCAATTTCTTGTTGCTGTTATTAACTGCTAAAAGTGATATTTGGTGCCAAGTTCTAGTCTGGGCATGTCTGCTTTCGTTTCAAGCCTGACTTAAGTCCTGACTTTGAGCTTTTGGAACTTCCCCCTTTTTTCTGTTGGTTTAGGTTAAGAAGCAAATCCTGGATGAGGAAATCTATTGCTCACCTGAAGCTACAGTTTTACTTGCTTCTTATGCTGTTCAGGCCAAGGTTTGTGCATAGAAAATCTCTTTTTTAATTGACTTGTTTCTGGTTTAACCAACACATCTACATGGTGGTGTGTAAAACACAGCAGGGGTAAAATTTGCTGGTAAAGTTGGTCATCCTGGGAGGTACAAGCACAGCTAGAAAAAAAACCCATTAAATGCCACTACAAGGATTTTTTCCTATGCTTCTGCAATTTAAGGGATGTATTTGGTCCTAACATTTTAGTGTAATCTTTCTGGAAGGATCTTCCATGGACTGCTCAGACTGAGGGGATGTGTGCAGTGGAACCAAAATAAAATCTGCATTAAGCTTTCACTTCAAACTATTCAAGGAACAACTCCCTCAGCATTCTGCCTCTAACAAACTGAAATAACTTTTCTTTTTTTGGGACAGTATGGTGACTACGACCCAAATTTCCATGAGCCAGGTTTTTTAGCCCATGATGAGCTGTTGCCCAAAAGGGTGAGTCTTAATTTTGTACAAACCCAAATATTTGAATCTCCTTTTTTGAACCTCCTTTTTGCAGTGCAAAATGTTTGAATCTCCTTTTTGCAGTGGAAAATGTTTGAACCTCCTTTTTGCAGTGGAAAATGTTTGAACCTCCTTTTTGCAGTGGAAAATGTTTGAATCTCCTTTTTGCAGTGCAAAATGTTTGAACCTCCTTTTTGCAGTGCAAAATGTTTGAATCTCCTTTTTGCAGTGCAAAATGTTTGAACCTCCTTTTTGCAGTGCAAAATGTTTGAACCTCCTTTTTGCAGTGCAAAATGTTTGAACCTCCTTTTTGCAGTGCAAAATGTTTGAATCTCCTTTTTGCAGTGCAAAATGTTTGAATCTCCTTTTTGCAGTGGAAAATGTTTGAATCTCCTTTTTGCAGTGCAAAATGTTTGAATCTCCTTTTTGCAGTGCAAAATGTTTGAATCTCCTTTTTGCAGTGCAAAATGTTTGAATCTCCTTTTTGCAGTGCAAAATGTTTGAATCTCCTTTTTGCAGTGCAAAACTTCTCAGTCTCCTTTTTGCAGCGCAGCTCTTGCTGGGGATTAATTTACAAACATTTAAACCATTAATTAATGTTAAACTAATTCAAAAACTCTGCAAAATGCCCAGGCTGTGAGCTGCACCTCTGCATTCACTTTGCCTGGGAGAGGCAGAAGTTGAATTTGGATTTTCCTGGGGATCCAACCTCCCTCCTTGTCCTGCAGGTGCTCAGGCAGTACCAGCTGACAGCAGAGATGTGGGAAGAGAAGATCACTGCCTGGTATGCTGAGCACAGGGGCATTGCCAGGTGGGAAACCTTTGCATTTCTAGGAAAATTTCTTTATTTATGGGATTTGTTGTTCTCAGTGTAATTCAGCCTGTCTGGAAGTCCAATTAAGCAATAAATAAGAACTGTTAGCACCCAGAGGCAGCTTTTTCTAATATTTGGGTTCTGTTTCTTTCTGTTCTGGAGGCTTCTTAGCATTATTTTTATTGACTGTTCCTCAAGATTTACTGATTTACTTGGAAGGGAGAAGAAAAGTGGGGAGAGAGATTCTCACTCTTCTTTGGCCTTGGACAAAAGCTCTGTCCAATACTCATTTCTCAATGAACTCTATTTCCTGAAAGAAATACATTCATGGAAAACAATGGAAGGATGGTTTTCCAAGACATGGAGTGGCAAAACTAACACAAGGATAAGACTTTTAATGAATTTTAATGAAGATTACACTATCCATGAGTCATCTTTTGAAATGGATGCATCTGTTATTCTTTATTATTCCTTATTTTATTCTTTATTCTGTCCAGATGCTGTTTTTATTATCTTTTTTTTTCCTATTACTGAGAGCAAGATGGCAAAACTAAGTTTGTACAAAGGGTCAGATTGCCTGTTCTTTTCTAAGTGGGAAATGGAGAGTCAGCCAGGAGAGAAAGGCTGGAAAGGCATTTCATAATCATGGCTTTATTCTCCAGGGATGAAGCTGAGATGAACTATCTGAAAATTGCCCAAGACTTGGAAATGTATGGTGTCAATTATTTCCCAATTGCTGTAAGTGCCTTATTTTAGCAGTTTTGACTTGCTGCAGATAATGGTGCTGTCCTTTTCAAGTCCTCCAGGGAGTTTGGAACTGGGACTCCTGACTTCTGGTTTTGTTCTAACTTGGTTTTCTTGCCTGCTAAATAAGCAGGTGAATAAAATAGTTAAGATTAATATTTTACAACCTGACAAAAGTTTTGAGTAACTCCAGGTATGGAATAGGAAGGAGAAATAGTTTGAGCTGCTATAAGCAGCCTAGAGGACTGAATTTATTATTACCAGTGACAGCACTCATAATATTTTATATAAATACCAATTGCCTAAATACAAGCAAATATCAATATATTAAAAGAGGTGCTTCTTGTCTGTGGTTGTTTAATGTCACCAAAAATGCCATTTACTCATCTCTCTTGTTTTTTAGCAAAATAAAAACCACACAGATCTCCTGCTTGGAGTTGATGCCAAAGGTATTCATATCTACAGCATTAATAACAGGTTCTCCCCCAATAAATCCTTTGAGTGGAGCTCTATCAGAAACATTTCCTGTAGTGAGAAAGAGGTATGATGGCTTTGATGTATTATTCTTTTTCCATGGGCATGGGTGTGGACTGGGATTCTTGGAACAGGCTGAAAGCTTCCTCTGTTGAAATAATTTTGGGGGAGAAGGGGAAAATCCTGGGGAGCTTTGTTACAAAACTAAAAATAACAGCCCTGCCTTGCAGATGAGCTCTAAACCTCAGCTCCCTGAGGCTGCTCTGAGGTCTGACTCTGTTCTGGCTCCTTCCCTGCTGCTTGGCCTTTGCAAAACAAATGTGTTGATCTCTGAAAAAGACAGATATTATGAATGCCACCGTGCCTGCCTTCCTCAGTTATCCCAGCAGGAATCCCATGATCCATAAAAACCTAAATGCTGTTTGCACACACAGAAGCCCTTGCAGCTGGGCCTTGGAGCCCAGTGGCAAGAGGAGACATGCAGGGAGGTATTAATGGTTTTCTGCCTCACTTCTGCCAGTTTGCTGGGACATGATTGCACTCCCCAGCACTGCAGTTTCACTGTGAAGCCCAGCTTTTGCTTCTAGAAAGGGAAAGAGTGGGGAAAATTTATTCCCAGTCCAAATCATTGGCTGTGTGGAAGGGTATAATCAGAAAAAACAAACCCAGGGAAACTACAGTGCTACTGGAATACCTGGAATTTGTCAGCCAAAGGACAGCACAGCCTGTTCTGTTTTCTGTGGGGCTTTTGGAAAACAGCCCACAGAAACTGAGATCTCAAATTGAGATGAGATTTTAGATTCATATCCTTTAAATCACAGGGGGACTGCAGGTTTGCTGCCTCCAAAACAGTTTTGGTCTCTGATATCATCAAACTGCCCCTGAGATGTGTGAATAAACTGCTTTAACTCCTTTTTTGGGGGGAAATTTTGTGTTTAAGGTTCACTTTATTCAGGGACACATCACAGCCTTGCTCCTCAAAAGGCTGCCAGTCATTACCTAGAGGGTGAAAGGAGCTCCAGGACATGATCCTGGTGACTCAGATGCCCTGGAATTATACGGGAATTACCTTGCAAATGAGTTAAAGGAATTAAATGCCAGGGAACTTGTGAGGAACAGAATACAGGGCCCTAAAAAAAAATTTAAAAAAGGGACATATTTTGTTCTGCAGCCAGACAGAGCACAAGGAATGGAGTGAAGCACTGAGCTGGCAGCAGGAAAACCCTGCCTGGCCTCTGGGAACAGCTTGGGACTGAGAAAGTGAGGAAGTCTCCAGGACTTTGCCCTGCTGCTCTGAAGAACAAGCCCTTAGGCCCTTGACACATTTGTTTATCCCTTCAATCGTTGCTGCTCTGAGAGGTGTTTGGCATTTCCCTGGCTTTAAGGCCATGCCTGCTTCTAGGGATTGCTGCTGTTCTCCTGATGGCCAGGGCTTGTTCCAGAGCTCTGGGCACAGTGCACAGGTGGCTTCAGGAAAATCCCCATCCACACTGGCACTGAGCTGGGCCTGGGGGTTCATCCTCCAACACAGCTTGATTCTATGGACAGAACCAGTTTTACATCACTCTGCCCCTATTTGTGGCATAAATCACTGCCTCCCCAGAGAGAAGTGGAGATGAGCTCAAGTCTGCATTGGTTTTAATAGTTCCAACTTGCTTTCCTCCTCACTGTGCTTCCTTTCTTCTTTTTTTTTTCATTTTGTAGTTAACTATTAAACCCCTTGACAAAAAAGCAGAAGTTTTCAAGTTCTTCTCCTCTCAGCTCAAAGTGAACAAACTGGTGAGTGAACTGTTTTGCTGCTTTAAAGCTGAGCCTGGTGATACTGACTGAGAAATATTGTTTGGAAACAAAATTGTGATCTTGGGATCTCAGCCTGTGTAATTCAGGGAAATGGGATCAGAGGGAGATGAAGGACAGGAGGAATTTCCATCCTGTTACAAATTTACCTGAGCTGTTGTGTGCCTGGCTGTGAGCCTGCCCTGGCTGCTGATTTTTCTTGGAGCTGCCAGCACTTGTGCTGAAGGCAGAATTGTCCTGTGAGGCCAGAGTGGGCCTTTTGTCCCTCTGGCAGGGGCACAAATCCATCAAACCCCCATTTGCTTTGCCTTTCCCATCCAGATTTTCCAGTTGTGCATTGGAAACCATGACCTATTTATGAGGAGGAGAAAAGTGGACTCCATAGAGATCCAGCAAATGAAAGCACAAGCCAGGGAAGAAAAAGCTAGAAAAAAGGTAGAATTTTCCTGCTTCTGTGTTGTTGAAGACAGTGATTATTATTGCAGCTCTGGATTCCATCAGTGTGTGTGTGGGAGGTGAGGAAGTGCAGCAGGATTGAACGTGGGAACAGCTCTGGCATCTGAGGAGGTCAGAGGTGTTTATGTGGAGTGGGGTGATCCCAAAGATTTGGGGCACAAACCAGATCAATCCAAGGGCTCTCCCAGCAGCCTGAAATAACCAGGAGTGCCTGCCTGAGGAGTTTAGTGCTGCAAAGTTCAGGCAGCTTCAGCATCTCTGGTGAGCTGGAGAGCAGCCCCTTCTCCATTTGATGCATTTCACTCAGGCCCAGGTGAGGTTCTGCTGCAATCCTACTCTCACTGGGATTTCTCACATTTTTTGAAAAATCCCTTCACCCAGGATTTTCTCCTGGGAAGCTGAGAAGCCTCAGAGAAAAAGGGAAACAATAATTATCTCATTTGCTTCTCCTGTGTTTTGGTGCTTTGGAAATGTGTTTGGAGATTGTTTATCCAACAAGTGGTTGTTTCATTAGTTTCATGTCAATTGTTTTAACGTAATGACCAATCACAGTCAAGCTGTGTCAGGACTCTGGAAGGAGTCACGAGTTTTTCATTATTATCTTTAAGCCCTCTGTCAGTATCCTTTTTCTATTCTTTATAGTTTAGTTTAGTATTCTTTAATATAATATAGTATAATAAAATAATAAATTAATAATAATAATAAATTATAATATATTATAAATAATATAATAAATAATATAAAACAAATAAATATAATGATAAATAATATAATAAATAATAATAAAATAATAGATAATAAATTGTTTACCAACAGGTGGTTGTTTCATTGGTTTCATGTGAATTGTTTTAACTTAATGACCAATCACTGTCAAGCTGTGTTGGGACTCTGGAAAGAGTCACAAGTTTTTCATTAGTATCGTTTTATCTATCTTTTAGCCTTCTAAAAGGCTAAAAGATAAAAAGATACTAATGAAAAACTTGTCTGTATCCTTTCTGTATTCTTTAGTATATTTTAGCTTAGTATTCTTTAATATACTATAGCAAATAATAATAATAATAATAATAATAATAATAATAATAATAATAATAATAATAATAATAATAATAATAATAATAATAATAGTTATTATTATTATTTTGAAAAATAAATGTTTTACCAACAGGTGATTGTTTCATTGGTTTCATGTGAATTGTTTTAACTCAATCACCAATCACTGTCAAGCTGTGTCTGGACTCTGGAAGGAATCACAAGTTTTCATTAGTATCTTATTAACCTTCTATAAATATCCTTTCTGTATTCTTTAGTATAGTTTAGTTTAGTATTCTTTAATATAATATATTATCATAAAACAATAAATTAGCCTTCTGAGAACATGGAGTCAGGTTCATCATTCCTCCTTTCCTTGGGGGTCCCTGAAAACACAACATCCCACCAACTATTGCTCATCCTTCTTCCAGATGGAGAACCAGAGGCTGGCCAGGGAGAAGCAGCTCAGAGAAGAAGCTGAGAGAGCCAAAGAAGAGCTGGAGAGGCGCCTTTTCCAGCTGGAAGATGAAGCCAGGCAGGCCAATGAGGCCCTGGTGAATATTCTTGTGCTTGATGGGCTTTCTTGGTTTGGAAGCAGGATTTTTTTTGACTCAGGAGCTCAGACAAGGCTGGGGAGTTTCTGATCACTGGTGGAAAGGGCATGCAGGAATCCCTGGGAAAACCCTGATCTGCCCTAATCTGTGAGCCATTCCCTCCCTGTGTTTGGCTCACAGTGCTCTCTTCAGCCTAAGAGGAGGGGAAAAGAAACAATTTTGGAGCTGAAATTGGGAGAGAGAGGCAGTTGAAGGGGCTGGCTTCAGCTTTGTCCAGCTCTAAGATTTTTCTCCTTGCTTTGTAGAGGTGAGACACAGGAAATTCTGGAGCAGAGGAGAGGAACATTAGGCCCTTAAATTGTCTGGTTGTTATTTAAGAAATAATATTTTATCACTTGGTAAATTATGTCCTCTGCCTGCAGGGGTGATTTTGGAGGTTCTAGACAAGGAACTAAGGAAAATTCTTTCTCCTCAGCTCCGATCCCAGGAAGCAGCAGAGCTGCTGGCTGAGAAAGCCCAGATTGCAGAAGAAGAGGCCAAGCTGCTGGCCCAGAATGCTGCAGAGGCCGAGCAGGAACGCCAGAGGCTGGAGATCACAGCTCTGAAGAGCAAGGAGGAGAAGCGGCTGATGGAGCAGAAGATGCGCGAGGCGGAGCTGATCGCCGTGAAGCTGGTGAAGGAGTCAGACAGGAGGTGGGGTTTGCTTCCCCGGCTCTCTGTGATCCCAGCTGGGCTGCAGGGAGGGCTGCTTTCCCCAGAGCCCAGCCCTGGAAGGGAGAATTATTGCTGAAGTGACACTTCAGAGAGACCAAGCCTCCTTGTGCCTTGTTTGTTCCACCTGGATGCTGTTGTTGTATTGCAGGTCAAGTTTACAGAGGATCAGATGCAAAGCTTGTTTGGCAAGAAAGAGAATGTTTAGCAAGAAAGATCCAGAATGCTGAAATGTCTTCTGTTTAGTGTTATCAAATGAGGACTGGCTACCTATCTAAATTTACTCTTTGTACCCTGTGAGATATGAGGCTGTTTTCATTCATTAGTACCAAGTGAATGGTCTCTTGTTTCCCTTTCAGATCTTTAAGAAGTGTAAAGCCAGGTAAACTCATGTGGAATATAAACAACTCTGAGTGTTTGCATGTTCCCTGAGCATGCAGAGCAGGCCAGTGTTGACAGAGGATTTTTAACCCTGTTATTAAGAAATCCTGCTACTTGTTTCAGGAAACTTGCCAAAATAAAGAGCAACCTCTCCCCACCTCAGGGAGGATCTGATGGCCTGGAGAGAATCTGTATCAGCAGGTTGTAACTGAGCCCATGGAAATTAGGAGTAGGAAAATTCAGCCACTCTGTGCAGCAGTGTCTCTGTGCTGCTGTGCCCAGTCAGGAGCATCCTCCCACGAGTGCCTTGGTGTAAAGATAACACAGTAATGGACTTCTCTGGAAGGTGGTGAGCCCTGAAATCCCTGTGTTGGTTGGAAACCATCAGCCATTGCCCTCAGGACGTTTCTCTTGCAGAGCCAAGGAAGCAGAGCACCTGAAGCAGGACCTGCACGAAGCCCGCGAGGCCGAACGCAAAGCCAAGCAGAAGCTCTTCGACATAACCAGGCTTAATTATCCTGTAAGTTCTGCTCCACAGGGCACCACTTCATCCTCAAAGATAGTCAGGTGTTGATGGCATTTTTCTAGCCCCCATCAGGCTGAATAGTGGCATGGCTGCCTCCAGCTGGGGGACAAACTGGTGTGGAAAAAGCAGAGTGTGGAAGCTGGGTTTGTTCAGGGTGGTAAGAAAGGCAAGGCAAGAGTTAAAACCAGAACTGGTGATGCATTTAGCCTCTGCTGCCTTGCCTTCATGTCTAAGTCATGGTGCCATTGCAGCCAGGCAGTTTTTGTGGACGTGGTTGTGCTGAGCCAGCTGTGTCATCCTGGCACGTCCATCTGTCTTTAGGCAAAGCAGGTGAAGTTGTCCCCAGCAAGAAGGCACTGCTGAAGGTCTGTGCCCCAACTCCCTGTTCTGCCCCAGCCCTGCTGAGGCTGGGTTTTCATTCTCTGCTCTAATAGGAGCACTGCAGCCAGGATAAATCTCTGCTCTTGGATTTGTGGGTTGTGGACTTCAGCTGGGTGCAAGGGAAGGGCTGCAGGAGCAGCTGTGTGTCTCAGAAAATAGCTCAACATGGCACTCTTGCAGAACAGAGGAGAGAAATCCCAAATCCACCAGATCTGACTGACAGTGCTTGTGTTGCCTCTTCCAGCACATGGCCAAGTACCCCCAGTACTCCCCAGGTGACAGCAGAGATGCCAACTTTGACAAAGGATCCATCAAGCTGGATTTGAAGGACATTGACCTCAAGAGACTCTCCTTTGAGATAGAGAGAGAGAGGTATCAGCATGCCTGTGGTGCAAATGGATGAGAAAGGCAATGAAATCTTTGGGGATCAGTTAATTTTTAACTAATTTGGGATGTGCATGTGGCTGGGGGGCCTTTTACTGAGCTGCTGTGGGTGATGTCTGTGTCACACTGGCTTTTCACACAGGGGAAGGGGTTTTGGGTGGCATCAAGCTATGATAAATCCAGAACCTTCTGTCTTGGGGAGGGACAAAGCACCTTGCTGAACTAACAGCATGTGTGAGAGGACAGAAGTTTCCCTCTAGTGCTAAAGTGTGGAATTGCTGGGGGCTGATCCATCAGCCATCCCTAAAGCTGGAAGGAAATGCTTGGTGCAAAGTTAGGAAGCAAAAAGAAAAGAAATGAACTTGTCACCGGGTCAGGGGAGCCAGGCTGGCATTGCCAGAGTTCATTTTACTTATAGAACATAAAAGAAAACAAAAACCAGCACTCCTCCTTCCACAAACACCTGTTCTTGAGTTAAATTGTGCCACCCTAAACCTTTTGCCTCCAACGTGTGGACTCAGGCTGGACTACTTAGAAAACAGCAGGAAATTCGAAGATCGGCTGAAAGAACTGAAATCTGAAATTCATGCTCTGAAGCTGGAGGAAAAACAGGCTGGGCTTTACAGTCACTGGAATGAAGTCCTGGGCTCCTTGGATCGCTCCTTAGGAAGTGTAAGAACCCCAAATCCCTGCCCCTTTCTCCAGCATGAACCCCAAAATGGAACAGTGTGGGTGTGCCAGAGGGAGCTGCTCTATTCCAGTCCAAGCCTTCACTACCCTTGATGATAAAATATTAGAAGCATGAGCACTTCTAGAGGAAAATTCATGTCAAAACAAAATCTTAAGGCCTTTTTTCCTGCACTGAATACCAGGACCATCAGCAAAAAATAATCATCTCATTTTATGATTATGAAATCACAGTCAGGGTTTAAGGTCTTGGAGCAAATGAAATTGTTGTGACTAACACATTCAAATGTGGTTTCTTACAGTTTGCTTCACATTCTCATTAATGTGCTTTGTGGTTGCTGAAAGTCATAAAAGCCTTGGTGTGTTTCTTTTTTTTTTTTGAGGGCAATGAGGAACTAGACCCAGATTTTTGTCATAAGTTGCTTGTTATTTAAATAAACTCTTTGGCTTCTTCCTGCAGCAGGGCAGGAATAGGGCTGGCTTTGTCTGCAGGTTTTTCCTCATGTAGCAAAAATGGCTCTGAGTCAATGGTTTTTTAGAGACAGAAGGGAGGCTTGAAAAATGATGAGGAAAGATGGTCTTTATTTTCTGACTACTCATCTGATGTTCTTTTTGGCTTGATGAGTGTTGATATAGAGAGGGCATTAAATTTCCATGTGCTCTGTTCTTTTAAAGGCCCCATCATGGATGGAAACCTTCGAAACTGGAGATGCAGTGGATGGAAATCTGCAAAGACCTTTCCCTGCTTACTTGTTAAACACTGCAAGCAGCTGGCCCTGCACCAACAAAATTCAGCACATGGTGCCAGTGGAAAAGTCATCTTCTCAAGCCAATTCCCTGGCTGCCAACAGTGTGGGCACAGGAACCAGAAAACAGATTATAAAGGTAATCAGATTCATAAATAAATTCCGAGATGTTGCCTAAAAGTTGAGAGTTCAGAGAGGGTGGCTGCCTGTAGGGACCTGGTTTGTCCTGCTCTGTCCCAGCCTCAGAGCTGACAAGGATTTTGCAGTATTTTGGAGCCCCTGGTGCTGGCACATCATTTGGGAATGTTTATAACTCGAGGCTGCCTGTTTTTTCTCACTTCTGATCTAAGCTGGAGTGCAAAGCTGTAAGCCTTGGTAAATGAAGCAGAGATGTCTGTACACAGTAGGAGGATCTGTGTTAAATTTTATTTGTACCAGCCAGACTTGGAAATGAGAAATGTGCTCCCAGGTATAGAGAGCTTAAAACATACTGTGCCTGTCTCCTGCTTTTAAAAAGCAGGGAGGAAGAGACCAATAAATCCCCAGGCTCCCAACAGCTCAGTTCTCTTCCATGTGCTCCCTGTCAAAGAGGCCTGAAGAGCAATGAGCTGGGTGGCAGGAGAAAACAACCTGCTTTGAAATGTCACTGGGCTGGAGAATGAGGAAGAGCTGGAAGGAAATGTGGTCTGGAGCAGTGGGGAGGAAATCAGCTGTCTGTGGGCAATGCTAATTGGGCAAGGTGCTGGGAATGGAGAAAGCCTTGATGGATTTGTTGTGGTTCGGCTGAACAAAACTGGAGGGGTTTAGGATCAATTAAAAGCTCCTGAATATAACATTCAATACCTCCTTCAGGGTTGGTGTGTTTAGAGCTAAAGGACACAGCTGAGTGCAGCAGCAGCTGAGGGAGCAGCTCCTTCTGAGGCAACAGAAACAGCTTTTAAGACTAAACTCAGGGGTGAGGAAATTTGTTTAAAGGAGGAAGAAAAAGCTATTGCAGAGCATCTTGCAAAAGGCTCCAGAGTTGGAGGAGAGGAAGACCTAGAGCCAAGGGAGCTACTTTCAGCCAGCACTAATTCTCCCTCTTTGATTTGCCTGCAGGTTCAGCAGCATGACTCAGATGTGATCTACATTTGAAGCCCCTCATTTCCTTGCCAGCCTGGTGGGACTGGTGGCCTTTTTACCTCTGTGGGGACACTTGGGCAGCTCTGGCTGCTGCCAGCTGTGAGAGACAAGGCACTGTGGATCCAGAGCTGCCATCCAGCTCCCAGGCAGGTGCCAGCAGCTGGGAATGCCACCAGTGCCCCCAGTGTGGCTGGGAGCAGTGCAAAGCCAGAGGAAATGTTGTTTATTGCCTGTGCACTTTGGAAGGAACACTTCACACTTTGCTAAAACCCTTCCTCCCCCAGGTGTTTCACACACTTAGAGCTCTGCTGCTGGAGGAAGGATGCGAGGCAGCAAGTGCCCAGGAGGTGTTTGGGATGAGAAAACAGAACACAAGCTTGGTGTTTATCTCCACAACAGACTAATTATGGTTTTGGTCCAGTCCCTGGGACATGACTCCCACAGAGCTACTCGATGTTTTAGTGTTTGCCTGCCAAGTATTTTCCTTCTCCTCCCCAAACATTTCTTGGTTCACTTAATTGATTTGCATTTCTCTGTGAGAAATCTCAGCTTTTAATTCCAGATGCAGAAGTGGACATCTTCAAGTACCTCCCATTCCTGGGGGAATCCTTTGTTTGGAATGCAAAGCTTCTGTTCTTCCAGTCCCTGACCAGATCAAGCATTTTCTGCTCAAGCAAACTTTGCATACATTAACTGCCTTCCCACTTCTGTGCAGCACAGCTCCCAAATTAGACAAAGACAAAAGATGCTGTTGGTGTCTGCTAAAGTGGGACTTGTTTCTGGTGGGGAGCGGTGCATGCAGCAAAGTGCCTGCCTCATTAGTAAAACCCACTTGCATTTTCTGGTTTTGTGTGTGTTTAAGTGTCTGCTTCTCCATAAATCTTCACTCTGAGGACTTCTGGGGAAGCAGACAACATTCAGCTGTAGCTAAAGCAGGAGCCCAGCTGAACTTGTGACATAAAAATGAAAAGTTATGTTGTTAAATGTCTTGTTCTAAAAGCTGAGATTAAAGAAAAAAAACCAGGTTCAACAACGAGCTTCAATTTCCACTTGCTTCGAAGGGAGCGTTGTGTCAATATTCCTCCAGCATTAACAAGGCAGCTTTGGAGAACAAACACCCAAATCTGCTCTGTACACATCTGCAGCAGGCTGAGCACACAGGGGGATGGCAACTGCCTGTGGAGGGGACAGGAGAGCTCTGCAGGGCTGCCCTGCCTTGCCTGGGTGGCTTGGGCTGTGTCCATTCTCTGCCAGCCCAATCTGGCACGAGATGTTTGCAGAATATTGGCTGGTGCACACAATTCCTGAGCTGTCTGCAGAAACCTGGTGTGTGAAGCTGTCAGAAATGCCAGAATGATGAGGCAGATGCTGTCATGGTCCCAAGGCTGGGGAGGGGGGCACGGGCCAGGATTTGGGACAGTGAACCATCTCCTGTATCAGCCAGGAAATGCTGCAGCATTTTTGAATGTGGCATTCTCGGATTTGAGGTTGAGGTGAAATACTGGGATTCCCCTGGTTCTTCTTTTCCTGTTCCCTCTTTTTTCTGGCATGTGCCTTACCACAGCCAAGGCATCCTGTGCCCTCATCCTCCACACGTGCTGCTTCTTCCTTCTGCTCTTGGGCCTGAGCTGCCCTGTGGAGCAGGGCCCAGAGGAAGGGACCTGCTCCATGTGCACCTTTGATTCATTTCTTTGGACTTAGTCCTGTAAATCCCAGTGAAGAAAAGGGCAAGGTCACACTCCTGCCAGCTCAAATACAAACCCTGCCTTTACATGCTGTTCTCAGCCTGCTGTGCCCTTGCTGGGCCTTGCTCCTGTGCAGCACCACCTTCCTGCAGGCTGGGATGGGTGTTTGGGCTCTGAGGTGGGCCAGGAGGAGCTGGGGTCTCCTGTGAGCCTTTTAGATGGAGAAAGAGGAGCTGGAATCTTCTGTGAACCTTTTGGATGGAGAAAGAGGAGCTGGGATCTCCTGTGAACCTTTTGGATGGAGAAAGAGGAGCTGGAAACTGCTGTGAGGCTTTTAGATGGGCCAGGAGGAGCTGGGGTCTGCTGTGAACCTTTTAGATGGAAAAAGAGGAGCTGGGAACTGCTGTGAGGCTTTTAGATGGAGAAAGGGGAGCTGGGAGCTGCTGTGAACCTTTTGGATGGAGAAAGAGGAGCTGGGATCTCCTGTGAGCCTTTCAGATGTGTCAGGAGGAGCTGGGATCAGCTTGAGAAATGCCCAGCCCCACATGCAGTCAGGTGTGCTGTGCCCTCACAGGGAGGCTGCTGCAGAGAGAAGTGCCAGCAGGGTGTTAATTTGCTGGAACCCTGAGTAAATATTTGCAGCAATTAAACTCTGTAAATTGGTGCTTCTGCTGCCCACACTCACCTGCAGTATTGACCACAGGATCTGAGGCTGTGCCTCAGCTGAGGGAGCTCTGAGGAGCCTGAGCCCTGATTTCCCCCCAGAAGAGAAGACAGATCCACGTTCTCCTCGGTGACTGCAGGATTTGTCACCCTGAGGGGTGGGTGAGGGATTTCTCAGCTGCCTCTGAGGAGCTGGGGAGCAGCAGGCAGCAGATGGTGCTGCAATGCTGCTCTGCAGCAGCTTGGGAAGGGCTGCCTGGGAAATCCTTGGGAATCTCTGCCCAGCCCTGTGTTCCCACACCAGCAGGCTCCTGTTCTTCTCCTGGAGTTTAACCTGACGTCATTTTTGACAGGGGTTCAAAATCTGAGAGTGCTGTGCTCTGGGAAGGGATTATTGCATGAGCAGCTTGGTCCTGTGCAGCTCCCCACATTGCAAAAGAATCCCCTCATGCTTCTGACACCTCATTGCCATTGTCAGCCTGTGGAAATGGCCTGGGTGGGTTTCACCCCTGGCTGCCAGGAGTGTGTGGGACCCCACAGCTCTGCTGCTATGTGATATTTTTATTAATGCTGCTTGAAACAAGCGGGGATTTGTTAAATTGGCAGAGCGTGGAAGAATTGTGGTGTGCAGTGCAAGGAGGGTGAGAGAGGCCTGAGAATGGGCCACAGGGGTCACTGAACAATTTCATCCTTTGTTTTCCTGCTGGAAAGGACATGGTGTTCTGATCTCAAACAGCAAAAAAAAAAAAGGGAGAAAAATCCTGCAGCAGTGAGGAGCTGCTGGGAGATCACCTGGGGAGAGGGAAGTCTGTTCCTAGAGTGACACAGCGAGTGGAAGTTGTGTTTCCTCTGCCCTGCTTGCTCTGTTTCTCTGTAAAACCATGTGCTCTAAGCCCAAGGGCCTCTCCCTTCCCTCAGAAGCCCTGGGATGGGGAACTGTGCAGATGGGAAACTCCTCAGGGTGCCCCTGAGCTGTGGAGGGCAGCCAACGTTCAATCCTTGGAGACAGCACATCCTCTGCTGGGACCCATCTCTCAAAAACCAATTTATTCCCACCTCCTGCATGATGCAGGCTTGACCTGGCCCTGGAATTTGGGCACCACCAGACACATGTGCTGAGCCCTGACTCATCCTGACCCTTTCCTGCCCGTGCTCCTGCTCTGGAGCCCCTTCCCAGCAGCAGGATGAGTTCACATCTTGCCTCTTGCAGAATCAAAGCGAATTCCTTCCTCTCCCTCCTTGCAGAGATCCCTGTGTCTGGCTTGTTCCTCTGCTTGTGCCCTCTGAGCCACCCAGGGCTGCTGCCTCTCGTGCCCAAGGTGTTTGCTGGGTCCTTCCCAGAGCATCCCTGCCACTTGTGCCCCAACCTCAGGGCTGTGCATGGGGCTCCAGGCTGGCACCTGTCATTTGTCACGGCCACCTGAGCTCCCAGCCTGGGGATGGGGACACAGTCCTGCCGTGCTGAGTCCTTGCTTGAAAAATCACCTTTTTTTCACTCGGCTTTATAGGCAAAAGGTAGCCCCAGGTGCAAAACTTGCCTGAGTTTTGTTATTTCTGGTTCTCTGCACTGTCTGGGCTCTTCCCCACCTTCCTGCAAGGCATTTTTGGGGGTGGCAGGGTCAGCTCTTTGGAGGGACACAGGGGAGCCCATCCTGGGGCTGCTCTGAGGCATTTAGCCCAGGTAAAAAGCAGATTTCACACCAGAAAGCATTTTGAATCAGGAGTGATGCCTCTCTGGGAGGAGGAAGAGGCTTTGTCATGCTGAATTACACCCAGCAGGGTGCAGGCATGGAGGCTGAAGGGAAAAAAGTGACTCTGAAAAGGATGGGAAAGGGCTGATGGGTGCCATTACTCCTGGCTTGGTCCTAAAAGCAAAGCAAAGGTTTCACAGCTGGGGAATTCACAGAAGGAAAATTCAGGAGAAAAGCAGGAGAGAGTGTCCAGAGCGACAGCTTTGGCTGGCATTTGGGAGTGGAGGGATGCTGTTGGTGCTGGGATTCACAGATCAGGGGGGATAGGAATAGTTCTCCCTAAAATGTGAGTCAGTCCCACATGCTGTGGTTGAAAAGGAAAGGGATCCAAGCAGAGCCCAGGATTAGTCTTGTCCCTGTTAATTCGAAAGAGAAATTCCAGAGAAAGAGGAAGTTGACAGAAAAAGCCTAAAAATTTCAGATAGTGCTATAAAAATCTTTCAACTCAGCAGTGAGGTGGCCCAGGAAGCTCTGAGGGATTTGGTCAGAGATGAGGATGTGGAGGAAACCAAAAGGAGAGAAAGAAAGAACTAGAAACCCCTGATGATCCCAGAGGAGATTTGATGTCCTGAAGCACTGCAGAGATGGTGGCACATGCCAAGGGCAGTGAGCTGGGATGGACACACGCAGGGAATGTGGAGAGTGAAAGGCTGGAACCACAAAATGAATCCAGCCCTGAGGAGCAGCAAAGGGTCAGCTTAGGCAATGGGGGTGTCTGCACCCAGGCTGCCTCAGCTCTGCTCCTTCAGGGCACACAATGAGGCGTGTTAGAGGTGGGAGTGTCCAAAAAGGATATTCTGGAGGAAACGGGGCAGAAGTGCTGTTATCCTGCTGCTCCAGACTGAAGGGATGAGCTGAGCAGTGTCAGGGGGAGGCAGCTCACACAGAAACCACCTCCAGGCCCGCAGGGGAACGAGTGAAGCTTGTCCTGGGAAGGGGTTTCCTGGTTTGCTGGTGCTTGCACAGCCTTGGAGAACATTGGATTCCACAGCAATGCTGCTTAGAGGGACACCTTGGGCTCTGAAAGGCCTCTGGGGATTGGTCTTTGTGAGCACAGGGCAGCTCTCCTGGGAAGGAACCTCAGCTGCAGGATGGTTGTGGAACGTGCTGGTGGTGATGCCTTGAGAAGGCTGGGCTAGAACAGAGACCAGACAGAGCTAAAGAATAAAGCAGGGGTTTATTAAAAGGATCTCCTCAATGGATCCACCTTGGGCAGCACAAGAGCCCAGCCAGGGCTGCACCCAAGATGAACCAAAATGGTCACAAAATGAACCCAAGATGAACCAAAATGGTCACAAAATGAACCCAAGATGGACCCAAAATGGTCACAAAATGAACCCAAGATGAACCAAAATGGCCCCAAAATGCACAAGCTCTCCCGGGGTCTCTCACTTTTATCAGTTCTGCTCCATTGTCCCATTCCAGCTTTAGCCCATCCAGTCCCACCCTGCTTGTTTTTCTCTCTCCAGCCCACATTGCTTGTGTTCCTGGGCCTGAGATTTGGGTCATTTGTCCTTGGTGCCCAGCTGGAGCAGGAATTGTTTTGTGTCCCTGCTCTGTGCACAGAGCTCAGCATCCCCTGATGTGAACCCAGACCCACACACTAAAGCAGCACAGAATGTGAAAAATAGAAAAGCCAAAACCTGTGGCATCAGTGGGATTGGTGTCCATGGGAGCAGTGCTTGGTTTTTATCTTGGCTCAGAAACCTGCATGAGAACATTGCAACATCCCTGTGCAAACCTGCTTTCCTCTCCATTGATTTCCAGCCTGTCCTCACACCAGCAGCACCTCCTCCCAACCCCTGGTGCCTTCACATGGACCAGTCCCTCATTTTTCAACCCAAACCTTTTGCATGTAACTCTTTTCATGGTAACATCAGTCCTGTGATGTGTGCCAAGGGCTTTTCCCTGCCCCAGCCATTCCCAGCTCCCAAACTGGAGTTCCTGTTCCTGTCACCTCTGTCCCCACCAGCAGGATCCTGCTCTGCACTGCTGCCTTGGATCCTCCTCCAGCCCTCAAGGTCGTTGGAATCCCTCTGTGTGATGTCCTGGCCTGCTCCAGATTGATGATCCCATCTCATTTTGCCTCATCAGCACATTTCCTCTGCCTTCTCCTGCTTTGTGTGCCAAGGTCATTAATGCAAATGTCAAGCAGGAAATTTTTTGAGGCAGAAACTCAAGGAACTGTGTGGGTAAGCCCCTGTGAGTGTGACACAGCCCCTTTGAGCTGAAGCAATTACCATGCCCCTTTCAGGCAGCTCTTGACCAAATTTACTTTTCACATGCCAGTCACATCTTCTCTGCCTTTGCTCATAATTTACTATCTGGCCTTAATTCAAGTGTCTTCCTGGAGCCCAGATGAGTGGAATCTACTGCATTTCCTTCAGCACAAATACCTCTGAACTTACAAAAGGCTGCTATTAGGTATGGTATTTCAAATATGTCAGGATAATAAGTTCACACAAAAATAGTTTCCATTATATCAATGTGCCTGTAGATGGAGAGTTGGGTGGCACAGAAATTTGGGTCTGCTGTCCCCATGTCCTGTGTCCTGTTTGCTGGGTGGCAAACTGGCTGGTGGTGTCACCAGTGGTGTGGGACAATGGATCTGCAGCTCAATTTTATTGTTTTTTTAGCTATTTGCTGATGGATTCAGCAAATGAGAATAATGGTGATGTTTCAGCTGTTCCTAAGTGGTGTTTTCCTTCATCAAAGACACAGGAGCTGCTGTGAGGGGACAGAGTCAGGCCAGGTGATCCAAGCTGACCAAAGGATTTTCCATCCCATAGAAAATCCTACCCCAGCTCTCCTGTGGCACCACAGGTGCTTCCAGAACATTCCCCAAAAAAGAGCCTCCACTGGCAGCCCCAGGTGTCACCTGTGGGGACAAACTGGGTGGCACCAGAGCTGGACCCAGGCTGGGAACAGCAAACCCAGGGGTCCCCCATGGTCCCTTCTCCCACCTTGGTGCAAGGAGGCATCAAAACTGACCCCTCATTAACAGACACGTGGATATGATTGAAATTATCTTTATTTTAGTGTATTATTCTGACATAGTTTAAATAGTTTCTAGAAATTATTTAAAAATAACGCTTAGAAAAACAATATTTAGTTTAACTTAAATAAGTTAAATAAAATAATTTTCTCCTTTGAAGAAGGCTGGGGGTCAAATCCTCTCTGTTGTGCCGGAGTCTGGAAGCTGTGCAGGGGTGGGATTGTGGCTGTCAGCAGGGAAGGCTCAGTTTCCCAGGCTCTGGAAGTGCTTCTGGAGCTCCTGCACCCATTTTTCCTGCGGATCTGCACACAGCTCTCTCTTCTTCAGGGTGATCATACTGCCAGGACAAAACCTGCCTTGAGCTGCTGGGCTGGGGCAGCGGGATCTGAGCGCCAGCAGCAGCACCCTGAGTGTCCCATGTGTGTCCCCTGGCAGTGCTGGCACTGCTGGGCACTCACATCACACCCCTGTGTGTCCCCTGGGAGTGCTGGGCACTCACATCACACCCCTGTGTGCCCCCCGGTCCCCCCTGGCCCTGCTGGGTACTCACATCACTCCTGGCTTGCTGCAGGAGCTGCTGGTGTCGAACACGGATCTGACGAGGCGCTGAGGGATGGGGTTCTTCTGGTAGGTGAAGCAGCACTTGGTGGGGACACCATCTGTGAGGGCAGGGGACACACACACGGCTCTGGTGAGAGCCCAGCACAGCCTCTGCCCCCTCCAGGGATTTCCACATCCTCTGGCAGAACCCCCTCTGGGCAAACCCCAGCTCCAAACCTGCATCCCCCAATGTGACACAGACCCCCCAACCCTCCCCAGAGCCACCCTGCCAGGGCTGGGGCTCTGCAGGAGGACACAGCGATGCTGGACTCACCAAGGTGACCTTCAGCTGGGGAGCAGGTGGCCAGGAGGAGCAGAGAGGCCAGGGTGGCTGCCAGGACCTTCATGGTGCTGTGGGCTCTGAGAGGAGCTGGGGCTGGAGCTGGGGAGGCTGCAGGACTCTGTCTGTGGCCCTGGGGCTGTGCTCCCCTTTTATCCCCATCCCAGGGGCGGGTGCAGGGTTTCAGAGAAGGAAAGTGAGGACATCATACTAGGAAATCGTGCCTAAAAATTATGTTAGGATCATTCATTTTTGCTGAGCTGGAAAAGGCAGCGAAACCGCAGAAGGGGAAGCGCCGTCCACGAGGCTGCGGCTTCCGAGGTGCTCCTTGGGTGCCTGGTGCTCCCAAACCGTGTCAGGGCTCTGCAGCAGCTCTGGGGGTGCTGGCAGAAAAGCCCTGCCAGGAGAGAGATGCCAGCTTCTCCCTGGGTTTGCCACAAATGCCACTTCTCACCCTGCTCCACCATGGGGATCCAGAGCGGGATCCACAACCACTGCACGCACATGCGTCCCCACTGATAACACCAACTCCTGCTTGGACAGGGAAAATCATGAGGGAATGAGCTTGTGTCGAGCTAGAAGTCACTGTGGGCCTCACATTTGTCCCTTTTTGCTGGCGGTTGGTCAAAAGAATAATTTCCTTACTGGAAAGGCTGCAGAGACATGGAGTCCCTGCAGGTGCAGGTGCAGGGCCTGGACTCTGGTGCCCTGCTCCAGGCCAGCAGCTCACCCTGCCACCCTCCCCTGTCCCCTGGCTGGATTTACACCTCTCTAAGGGTTTCATTTTTTGCTGCAGCCCACCCTGCCACCCTCCCCTGTCCCCTGGCTGGATTTGCACCTCTCTAAGGGTTTCATTTTTGGCTGCAGCTGACCCTTTCCTCCCTTTCCTCTGACTGAAGAGTTTCAGTTTTGGCTGCAGCCTCTCAAGGCTGAAGTTGTTGCAATAACTGCTTGCCCACTTCTTCCCAAGCAGGATCATTTAATCCAATTTAATCTCTCCTGGTTTAGCCCCAGCAAGCAGAGACTCCCATGGCAGGACACAGCATGGAGGGTTGGAGACAGAGGGAGGAGAGGATCCTGCTGGTACCCACTGGGATCAGCTCATTGCACACAAAGTCTCCAGAAAACTGCAGAGCGACTGAAAAAGAGCAGCATTTGCAATTCCAGAGGGTAATTCCCCAAACACCCCCCTCTGCTGCACACCCAAACAGAGTGAGCTGCCAAAATCATCCCTTCCTCCATTTTTTTTGCCTTTCCCAGCCTTTTCCTGATGCTGCCACAGAGGGTTTGCAGTTACCAAGCAAACCCCAGCTTCCCCTGGCCCTGCTGCTGACCCTGCCTGGGCTATGACTAATTCCTGACTGATTCAAGGGAAAAGTCCAACTGCCCAAAATGCTGAGCCATGGCACTGCCTGTTCTTGTCCAGAAAAGCTTCCCCAGCCACCAGGTCCTGCCTGGTGTCAGCAGGACAGGGAATGGGTGCAAATCATCTCCTGGAGCTGCTCAGGAGAAGCTGGGCAGGGCTGATCTGGCCTTGGGCTGGTGGAAGAACAGGTCCAGCTGTTCCAGCTGTTCCGGCTCTTTCTCCACCTCCCAATTTTCAGCTCTTTCTGTTTCAGCCACTCTGTGCACGGGGCTACACATTAATAAATAAATTAATAAATCCTTTGGATTTGCCAATAACCATTTGTGGTGGTTGATTGAGGAAGGCTTGGAAAATTCATCTGCTGTAAAGACACCTGCTTGTGACATGTCCCTGGATGCACAAAGGCAAAAGGCTCAATTCCCCAGAGTAATCCAGATCTGCATTAATTTATTCTGTTTTTCTGCCCTGCTGATTGCAAAGACACTGACAGTTTTCTCTAGAGCTCAAAGCACCCTCTGTGTGCAGAGGAATCCCAAGTTCAGGGCAAGCCAGTGGAAGTTTTTTGTGTTTTCATGACCCTCTCTGCCTGTAAACCCACAGAGATCTCCCCACAGCTCTGCCCTTCAGCCACCCCTGAAATTCTGGAATTCCCTCCTGGAATTCTGGCACCTCTCCTGCCTCACCAGGGCCAGCTGGGTTTGTGCATGGGGAGAAGTGGGAGAGGGACTGACAGGAGGAAAGAAAGCAGGAATTGCTGTCTGGGTCCACTGCAGGAATGAGATCCTGAGCTGTCCAAAGCCTGGATGGATTTTTTTCTGGAGAGAGCAGCCCTGAGCTAGGGATGAGCTGAGCTTGGCTTGGTGGGTGCCCAAACAGAGGGAAAAGGGGCAGGATGGGCAAGAGAGCAGCGCTGGGGACCAACAAACACCAGGAGCAGGGTGAGGAATATCCCACAGCCAGAAAAGCCTGGAAACTGAAATCAGGGCTCTGTGGGCGCTGCAGTTTCCAGAGGATGAATTCTCATCTGGCAGGAACCACAGAAAATCTCACAATTAATAGATTATTTCTGATGGGAAAAGCAAAAACATTTCCTCTTTGCTGCAGAAGTGACTGGCCAAGCTTTCAGTTCTCCATTCAGCTGAGGGCCGGATGGGACTTCTTACTGGACGCTGATGAAATAGTTTCCATTGTGACTGGAACTGAGGATATTACAGAGAATTGCACAAAAGTTCAGCTCAGCAAGAGCAGGCAGTTGGTGTTTAATTCTGTTTAAGGAATTAGATAGCAGGAACTGATATAAAGGGAGAGTGAAGAAATGACTTGTGGTTTTATTTCTCCTGCTGTGGAAGATCTCTGTGAGCAGGTGATGTTGGAATCCAGCAGAGGAACAAGAATTTGGAGGGGAGGAAACATAGGGGAAAGAGAAACTTCAGCTTTACAAATTCAAATTTGAAAAATTAAAGAAAGAAAAAGCCCATTAGTCAATGGGGGGAGTAAAGACCCAAAGATGCCATTTCTTTTTTGGCTTGCCTGGTTATGGTTGAGTACTCAATACCACCAAAATTTTGTGCACCCAGGAAAGAAAAGTGAAAAAAGAACAAATAATAAATAAGGAAATAATAAATAAGGAATAATAAATAAGGAATAAATAAGGAAGGAAGAGGCAGTTGAGGCAGGTGCAGCCAAAACAGAAAGGGCTACAAAGATTCCCATAAATTGCTCCTACAAAGATTCCCATAAATTGCTCCTGAGCCAGGCTGTGGCCACCTCACCACCAGATAAACTCACATGGGGTGGAGGAGCAAATGTGGCACTGGTCTCACAAAATCTGATGATTTTGGCACTGCCTTGCATGAGTATCCCAAAGAAAAGGAGGGAATTAGGTGTGAAACCCCCTCACCCCCTGGGGCTGTGCAGAGGGACCATCCCTGACTGAGGGCAGGACAAGGGGGAGCAGCAGGGACAGTGTGGGGCCAGAGCAGACCCCAGATTTGCCGAGTGCCAGGATGAGGAACCTCTCCCTTTGGGCTCTTATCCCAGAAGTAAGGCATAAGAGGAGAATCCCAGAATATTATTGGTCTGGAAGGGATCCATCAGCATCATTAAGCCCAGCTGCTGGCCCTGAGGCAGAGGATGCTCTGGGGAGCACCAAAGGGATCAAAGCAACCTCTGCCTTCCCCAAGGCAGGAACCCACAGCAGGAAGAAATGAAAGTCACCGCCAGCACCTCGATCCCGTGCAAGTGCAGAGGAAGCCACAGGGGTTGTGCAACGTCCCCCTGGAAGTGACACTCATTGATAAAAATGCTGCAAAGGGCTCCTGTGGCTCAGGGTTGCGGGGAGAGCACGTGGCAGCCTCACGAGCTGGCCCTGACCCTGCTGTGTGCGGTTTTCTGGGAATAATTCTGCTCTCAAAGCACAGTTCCTACAGCAGGCCCTGCTGATGGATTTGGAGCTCGAATTTACAAAAGTTCCTTCCCTCCCTGAGGATCCTGTGGTAAGACCCCTGTCACATTCATATTTTCGGAAAAATCCCCTTGCCCAGGATTCTTCTCCTAGGGAGCTGAGAAGCCTCAGAGAAAAAGGAAAACAATATTATCTGATTTGCTTCTCCTGTGTTTTGATGCTCTGGAATGTGGTTGGAAATTGTTTATCCAACATGTGAATTGTTGGATAAACAATTGATAAACTTGTTAAATTGATAATTGATAAATAATAAATTGTAAATTGATAAACTTAAGTTGGATAAACTTAATGACCAATCACAGCCAGCTGTGTCAGGACTCTGGAAGAGAGAGTCACAAGTTATTCATTATTATCCTTTAGCCTTCTGTCTGTATCCTTTCTCTATTCTTTAGTATAGTTTTAGTATAGCATTAATATAATATAATATAATATAATATAATATAATATAATATAATATAATATAATATAATGCAACATAACATAATACAACATAACATAATATAATACAACATAACATAATATAACATAATATAAATTAGCCTTCTGAGAACATGGAGTCAGATTCATCATTCCTCTCTTTGATGGGGGTCTCAGAAAATACCACAGACCCCCAGCCCAGGACAGGTTTTCAGTGGTCAGAGTGGCTTTAGCACCAGACTGAGAGGAAGAATGGTAGGGAAAAGAACAACCTCTCCCAGGCAGGAGGCTGCAGCACACCTGGCATTCCAGAAAATCCCCCTAAAATTAATTCTTAAATTAATTAAATTAATTAAGGAATTATTAAACATTTCTGTGCTGACATGATCCCCAAGAGAGCACTGCATTTAACCTGAGGCTGTAGGGAAGGCTTCCAAAATTGAACTGAGATTATGAGTGTGTAGTTTGAATAGAAATGTGTAATATCACATAGTAAAAAACTTAGGGTTTGAAGTTTTAAATATAGTAATATATATAAAACAAAATTGAAGTTTTAAGGCAAAAGCTAGTCCTTCTTCTTCTTCACCTTCTTCTTCATAGGTTTGAGTGGTACTGTATAATTAAATCAGAAAATCCTCATTGTGGGCCACGAGTAATAAGTTATTAAGTTAAAAGTAAAAATAATTTAAGCGTAATTTTTTAATTAGACAGTTTGTCCTTAAAAAGCCTTGGAGAGAGAGAGAGAGAGAGAGATACAGCTCCATTTTTAGTTTATTTTTAACTCTCCATTTAGTTTCTTTTTGGTGCTGCAGAACTCACAGCTTGTAAGACTGTAATATAAATAAGAATTAATAAACATCTAAGTCCAAACAAAAAAATACCATCCCACACATTTAATTCCAATCTTTAGTGGGATCAGAGGGGGATGATGTCCATCCTTCCTGCAGGGGGGTGATTTGGCACTGCAGCCACACGTGCCTGATGCCCTGGGAAGGCTGGCCTAGAACAGAGCTAAAGAATAAAGCAGGGAATTATTAAAAGGATCTCCTCAATGGATCCACCTTGGGCAGCACAAGAGCCCAGCCAGGGCTGCACCCATGATGAACCAAAATGGGCACAAAATGCACAACTGGGCACGGGGTCTCTCCCTTGGATCAGTTCTGCTCCATTTGCATATTGGAGTTAATTGTCCAATTCCAGCTTTAGCCCATCAAGTCCCTGCTTGTTTTTCTCTCTTCAATTCACCATTAATAATATAATATAATATAATATAATATAATATAATATAATATAATATAATATAATATAATATAATATAATATAATATAATATAATATAATATAATATAATATAATATATGTAACATTATATAATATAACATTATATTATATTATATTACATTATATTACATTACATTATATTACATTACATTACATTATAATCACCATTATTTAAGAGCATTATTTATGCTCTTGGGCCTGAGATTTGGATCATTTGTCCTTGGTCCCCAGCTGGAGCAGGAATTGTTTTGTCTCCCTGCTCTGTGCACAGAGCTCAGCATCCCCTGATATGAAGCTCAGAAATACACATTGGAGCAGCACAGAATGTGAAAAATATCAAAGCTAAAACCTGAGGCATCATGCCTGCCACCTTCCTGCCACCCAGCACCACCAGGGACACTGAGCTGGTGCCCTCAGCCCCACCCTTGGCAATCTTTCATCTCCAAGGGGTTCAGTTTTTCATCATCTGGCACCTCTGTGTGGGCTCCATGTCTGAGTCAGATTCTTGGGGTGAATGTGGCATTTGGGTGTGATCCCCACCCCTGGGCGTGTTCCAAAGATGTGTCACCTGGGGATGTGGTTTGGTGCTGGGTTAGTGCTTGGACTTGGCCTTAAAGGTCTTTTCCTTAATGCTCCCATGATTTAGAGGAGCAATTCCTGCCCTGTCCGTCACACATCCCAAATATTCTGCTGGATCCTGGGATTTCCAGCACCAAAGAGCAACTAGGAAAGTCTGGTTAACTCTCATTTTCTCTGCAAAAATTGAGAATTGCGGTTACACAGTCCTAGGCAAGAATATTCCTTCAATTTCCAGACAAGTTCCAGGTGATGTAGTCCTGTGGGCATTGTGGCAGATTGATTGTCCATTGATCATTGATTGTACAAAATTGGCCATTGATTGTACAAAAAATGCCCTAAATGGGGGCAGATAGATGACAACAAATCTGGCAATGTGTGTAAAGGCGTCTTTAAGAGTGAGGCATGTCCTAGCTCATCAAAAAGATGATTCAAGTGAGTCACAAACTAACAGGGAAGTGAATAATGCAGCGTTTTTCTGGAGAAACTGCCTGCCCATAGCTGGGACGGGTGCCCTATTTGGGTAACAAGCTGGCTGATGGCCCAGGGGTGCTGGGACACCCAGCTGGGGCTGTCACCAGTGCTGCTGCCCAGGGACTGAGCCAAGCCAAGCCCTAGACACCCTCAAACACCCTAGAGGGAATTTTTCTCACATTTATCCCCATCCCATGGGCATCCTTAAAGCCCACAGCTGGGCAGGGCTGCTCCACCTTGGAGGGGAGCTGGGCCCTTTGGGTTTCCTGGACTATTCCTGGGGAAATTGAGCCTGGATATGATCCATTTTCTGCCCAGGATTGACATCTCACTCCAGCTACAGGTTTATTTACAAGAGGGTTTATTGAGTGCAGGGGGAGGGGACAGAGCCAGCTCTGTAAATTAATGACACAAAAACCACACAGAGAATCACGAGGTACAATAAATAGAGGTTTGGGGAAGGCAGCTTCACGTGGAGATGCTGTTTGGCTCCTTCTGCCTCCTCAGGTACTCCTGGAACCATTTCTTCTTTGGGTCCACGCAGACCATCCCCGTCAGCAGCTTCACTCTTGGAGGGGAAAGAAAATCCCGAGTCAGCCTGGGAGTGCAGGATCCCCCAAGGGATTCCTGCAGCATCCTGCCCCCCTTTCCCTGCCAGGGCTGGCTCCTGGCCTGCTGGCAGCACAAATGGGGCCGTTTGGGGCAGAGCATCACCCCTGGGGCTGTTTGGGTCAAGCAGGGAGGGAGGTGAGTGTGAAGAGCCGGGTGAGGACAGCCCCACCACGGGCAGGGGACTCATTCTGGGGAGTGCCCAGAAATGGGGATTGCTGGGGAAGGAGGGTGAGCGAGGTGAGGATGGGGTGGAGGGCAGGAAGGCTGGCTGGGAGCTGGGGTTACTCACAGAACAGCCCTGTGGGTGCAGGTGGATGGTGTTTCCTGGTAGCCCAGGATCCTGAACTCCGGGATTTTCCGGCGGGAGAACATTTCCTTGGAGCAGCACTTGGGTCTGGAGCTGCGGACTGAGAGCAGGAGGGAGGGTTCAGTGCTCTCCCACCCCTGGCATGAGGGGTATGAGCTCTGCTCCTGCTCCCTCATCCCACAAAGGGAGCATCTTGCAGCCCCAGGGGCGATGCTCTGCCCCAGCGTGTGAGCACCCTGCCCTTAGAGCTCCCCAGCTGGGACTTTGGGGCTGAACCAACCCTATTTTTACTCATTTTGAACAAATCCAGGCCAGCCCCATGCTCAGGCAGCTGCTGATGCCCCACAACCCCACAGGAACTGAGCTCTCCTCCCTTTCCCCAGCCCCAAATCCCATCAGAGGAAAATGTCAGAAGGGAAAATCTCCCTGCTGGCACTTACAGGACATCCCCTGGCTTCCAGTCCAGGCAGCTGCCAGCAGCAGGATGAGCAGGGCCAAGGAGATCTTCATGTCCACCCCGAGCTTCTGTCAGCACCAGCAGCTCTGGTTCTGCTCTGCCCACCAGGAGCTTGCCTGCCCTGCTGCCTGCAGCCCTGTGGGATTTATAACAACCCCTGCCAGGCTTTCCATGACAGCTCTGGACCCTCCCCGTGGAAAGAACCGCTTGGATCTCTCCATGAGGGGCGAGTGGTGAGGGGAAATTCCTCCTGGCAGCCACTCTGGCCACCGTGACACCCCAGGGCTGCTGAGAGGTGTGGGAGAGGCTGGTGATGCTGGGCTGGGAGCCTATTTTGGGTTGGGTTGTGGCCACCAGCAAAGAGCACAGGATGATGCTCACACTTGTGAGTTCCTGTGCAAAAACCACTCCTTGCCATTGGCCTCTGCTTGCTCTGGGGTGGTGGCTGGGTTTGTTTCTCCATCTGTCACACACATCTTTCATGGAAAATCCTTTCCTTAGGATTCTTCCTCCTGAGAAGCTGAGAGGCCTCAGGAACAAAATGGAACCAATGGTTATCTGCTGCTGTGGAATGCAACAGGTGCATCTGGGATTGGCCCATGTTGGATGTTTCTAATTAATGGCCAATCACAGCCCAGCTGGCTCGGACAGAGAGGCCGAGCCACAAACCTTTGTTATCATTCCTTGCTATTCTATTCTTAGCCAGCCTTCTGATGAAATCCTTTCTTCTATTCTTTTAGTATGGTTTTAATATAATATACATCATAAAATAATAAATCAAGCCTTCTGAAACATGGAGTCAGATCCTCATCTCTCCCCTCATCCTCAGACCCCTGTGAACACGCTCACATCCATCACCCACTGCAGGCTGGCTCTGCCCCTGTCACAGCACCCATCACATTTCCTGGTGGCATTCCTGGGGGTTTGGGCTGGCCAGGCGTCCCTGAGATCCCTCTCTAATGGAATTTGGGCTGTTAATTGGGATGGTGGATGAGGAGAACAGGAAGCCCCCTCCTCCCAGCAATGTTGTCACTCTGGTTCTTCCCCAGAGCCCTCCTGGGTTTGGTTTGGCCCCATTCACCTCTGGACACCCTCACAGAGACCTGGCTGAGGCTCCAGCTGCTGCTGGCTCCTTGCTGATCCCAACACCTGGGCAGGAAAGGCGGCAGCAGGACCTGCCCAGGCCCCAGAGACTCACGCAGACAGATGTTTGCATGTGGGAATCACATTTAATTCTGCTCAGAGTCGACAAAAAACAACTGTGGAGCTGCTCCCCCTTCACCCCCCGCCTGCTGCAGCCTCTCCATGGACCACAGAGGGTCTGGGTATTCCATCCTGCTGGGCTGGCAAAGGCTGGCAAAGGCCCCTTCCTGTGGTGAGGGTCATGGTGATGGGGAGGATGTCCCTTGTGAGCTGCTCCATGGAGAAGTGTCCCCTCTGCCGGGGTGGTGTCCCCCTCAGGGCTGTCCCCAGCCTCCCCACTAGCTGGGGATGGAGAAGGAGCTGACTTGGAAGCTCTGCTGGTACCTCTTGACCCACGCTCTGCTGGCCTGGGTGCAGATCTCCTTCCCGTTCCTCACCTTGAAGCTGGGGCACAGAGAGGCTGGGGTCAGTGGGGACCCTAACACTGAGCTTCTGGGGGGCTCAGGGGGAGGATGGAGCCAGCAGAGCGAGGCAGGGGTGGGTTTGGGGTACTCACATCACAGCCTGGTGCGGGCACTCGGGGCTGGTGGGGTAGCAGGCCACCACGTTGTCCCTCTTGATCCTTCTGGTCTGGAAGTTGAAGCAGCACTTGTCTGGCATGGCTGGAGCTCCTGGGGGGCAGCACAAGCCTGGCTCAGCCTGGAGACCCCCAGCCCCTCCTCAGCCCTCCTGCCATGGCAGTGGCAGCTCTTTGGGGGGGATCCCCCTGCACCCCATGCATGAAGCAAACCTGACCCCACAGCCCTGGGTTCTGTCCCTGTTCCCCCCATCCCTCGGTTCTGTCCCCATCCCAAAGCCCTGGGTTCTGTCCCTGCCCCCCATCCCTGAGTTCTGTCCCCATGCCCCATCCCTGGGTTCTGTCCCCATCCCAAAGCCCTGAGTTCTGTCCCTGTTCCCCCCATCCCTGGGTTCTGTCCCCATCCCACAGCCTTGGATTCTGTCCCTGCCCCCCATCCCTCGGTTCTGTCCCCCCCAGCCCTGGATTCTGTCCCTGTCCCCCAGCCCTGGATTCTGTCCCTGTTCCCCCCATCCCTCGGTTCTGTCCCCATCCCAAAGCCCTGGATTCTGTCCCTGTCCCCATCCCTGGGTTCTGTCCCCATCCCCAGCCCCTGGGCTGAGGGCAATGCTCACTCTGAGCCAGGCTGTGCCAGCACAGCGTGCAGAGGATGAGGAGGGCACAGACCACCCTGGAGGCCGTCCCCATGCCGGGCTGTGGCAGTGGCTGAGCCGCCTGTGCTGGGGCCAGCCTGCCCCGGCTGCTTTTATGGGGGATCTTCCCCCAGGGCCAGGGGGAGGGCCTGGCCCCTGCCACGTCCCAAAGCACAGAGGGAAAGTGATACTTCATCCCCTCATCCCCTCCCCGGCCCTGGGAAAGGAAAAATGTGCTCCCAGGCCGTGCTTCTGGCACTGATGGGCTTGGGATTTTTCCTGAGCTCGGGCCCCCAGCGTTGGGGCTGATGGACAGGCTGTTCCCAAAGCCTGGCTCTGCACCCTCAGTCCCTGGGCAGGCTGTGCCCAGGCCTCGTGGAGGGGAGGTGAGAGGGTTTGGGGATGTCCTTTGGATGGGTCAAGGGACAGGCACAGCATCCTGCAGGGTCTCCCATTGTCCCTGTCCTCCCCCTGCCCTGCAGTTTTGTATCCTGGCCCTGGGGACCACCAGCCAAAAACCCCCAAAAAAACCCAGCCATTGAGAAAATAAAGCTGTAGAGAAAAACCACAAAACACAGAGAAACAGCTTCTGCCTGGTTGCATCAGGCACACAAACTCCTCTGTGCATTTTTGGGGGTGTTTGGGGCCCAGGGGGAGGACGGGCAGGTGGCTGCACTTCCCCACTCTCGGTGCCAAAGCAGCAGCTCATGTTCTTGGCCGTGCTGGGCTGGGAAAGGCAGAGGCCAGCGAGGGAATCCCTGGTGGATTTTGCCTGGCTGCAGCTGTCAAAAAATCCCCTTCTCCCCCCAGCCCTGCAGCTCCCAGGGCGCCTCCCAGCTGCCTGCAGCTGGCGCAGGAAGGGGAGCAGAGGGGAGAGGCGGAGGCTGCGCTGGGAAGGCTGAGGGATCCCGGGGTGCTGGGGACACAGCCCTGCACAGAATCACAGATCCACCAGGCTGGAAGAGACCTTAAAGATCGAGTTCAACCCAGCCCCAACACCTCAGCTAAAGCCTGGCACCCAGTGCCACATCCAGGCTTTGTTAAACACACCCAGGGATGGGGACTCCACCACCTCCCTGGGCAGCCATTCCAGGACTTTATCACGCTCTCTTTAAAAAGTTCTAATATCCAACGTGTGTTTCCCTTGGTGCAGCTTGAGACTGCGTCCTGGACTGCCTTGGGGTGCTGCTCCTGGAAGGGGAATGTGTGACCATGTTCACAGGGGTCTGAGGATGAGGGAAGGGATGAGGATCTGACTCCATGTTTCAGAAGGCTTGATTTATTATTTTATGATATATATTATATTAAAACTATACTAAAAGAATAGAAGAAAGGTTTTCCTCAGAAGGCTAGCTAAGAATAGAAAAAGAAGGAATGATAACAAAGGCTCTGTCTCAGACTCTCTGTCCGAGCCAGCTGGGCTGTTATTGGCCATTAATTAGAAACAACAAACACAGGTCAATCACAGACCCACCTGTTGCATTCCACAGCAGCAGATAACCATTGTTTACATGTTGTTCCTGAGGCCTCTCAGCTTCTCAGGAGAAAAAATCCTAAGGAAATGATTTCTCATAAAAGATGTCTGTGACAGGAATGGGAATTCGCTCTTCTCCAAAGCCACTTCCCAGAAACCAGCCTCAGTTTGTTTGGGGTGACAGGGACGTGCCAGGGCATGCCCCAAGGGGAGTGGGAGCAGATAAGTGGGGTTTGTGTTTGTCTGGCAGAGCTGAGCACCTTTTGTCATCCCCCAAATTCCCAATTCATCCCTCCCAGAGGAGCAGAGACGTCTCTGGCTTGGCCCTGGCCCAGCCCTTGGCTCTTGGCCTTTCCCTGACTGGATCCATCTTTTTCCTCATCCCTTTTCCTGCCCCTACGCACCACAGAGCTCCTGCTGCAGCTGGGGCAAACACGGCCCTCTAAGGGTAGAAAATGTTCCCTGGAAAACAAAAGGAAGAACAACAAAACAGGGTTTATCGTTCTGGGAAAACCCCTTTTAATGACTCAGAGGTAAAATTCCATTGCAGGAATTTTAAAAATTGCAGCAGGAAAAGAAGGCCAGGAATGACATTCCCAGCTCATCAGTGTTTGATGCAGAGAAGGGCACGGGACATGGGCAGAATCTCTGCTCTGAGGTGGCCCCAAAAGTCCACTGATCCCACAAATCATCTGGGCTGGAAAACATCTTCTTCCTCCCTTTCTTCCCCCTGTTTCTGTTGCTGTAGAACATGAAATAAAACAACGCAGACACACAGCTCTCTAAAGTAAAAAAAGAAGAAAGTTTAATTTCTAACTTTAATATTTACAGATTTCCAAAAGCGACAGTAGATTAGAAGATGACAGTGCTACCTCTCCAATGACACTAAACAAATTAACAGTTTATTAATTTTTTTCTTTATTAATTATTTTTTTCTTTATTAATTATTTTAGTTTATTAATTATTTTCCCCGTAAATAAATACCGAACAATAATCTATTTACATAAAGCGCGTAAAAAAAAATCATTACAAAAATATAAACATCAGAAGGCTTAGAAAAAAATTAAAGAAAAAAAACCAAAGCAGCACTGTTTCTCTCACTGTGGGGGCTCTGTGCCTGCACTCCCAGCTCTGAGACAGCCCGGGACACACAGGAATACCCCGGGACACACCGGGACAGCCTGGGACAGCCCGGGACAGCCCGGGACACACCGGGACAGCCCTGGAATGCCGCTTGCCCCCGGGGCAGAGCTGCTTTTCCAGCCTGATGC